AGAGGGGCAGCCTCAGAATTGTGTTGTTTAAAATTAACAATTTTTGTACTTTTTCGATGAAAAATATTCCTGGAATTGTATAATATTACAGAAATATGTTGAACCACTGTGTTTTGCAAATAAAATTGCCCAATTTTTATGAAATTTATAAGTTTTAGCGAATTTCGAACGAGAATTTACCGTACTTTTTAACGAAAAACTTCGGCAAAATGGCAGGAAAAGTAGAAGGGCCCTCGGGAGGTACCCTCGACCAATAGAAGGACCAGCCCTTCTAGTAAAGGTGTTACGGTACATACTAGAATAGAAGGATGAGTCATACTGACCAAAACTCCCATACTTGTTCATGACTCTCTACATTTTTTGATTTTTGCGGAATTTCGATTTCCCACATTTAAAGAGAAATTTTCGAAATAAGAGTATAATCGCCTGGGGCGTCACTTCTTCCTGACCCACCGGTTTATGTGTGCATCTTCGTCTTGAAATGATAACGAAAATGCGTAAAAGAATTCAACAATAATACATTAACGTAATTTGTTTGTGACAACCAGTACCTTCTTCAAAATGACCTCAAAAAAGTTTTTGCTCTCTTTCCTCATTGGATTCATTTGTAAGTAACGGCAACTTGAAAAAAAGGTATAGCGAACCGTAAAATTTACAGTATGCCTCGGGATCCCAGTGATTCAAGCATCAAGCTGCAAAGATTCATATGTGGATCGTGTATGTGGAGAGGATCAGACAAATCTATGGTTGGATATTGTCTGTGTTGTGGATAATTCAGTTGGAATGACCAATGCCGGTCTTGCATCTGTAAGTTGTTGGTAACGTTGGTGTATTTTTTCTATCTTTTCTTGGTTATCTTTTCTAGCTAAAAAGTAATTTGACATAATGTTTCTTAATCTGTTTTCTTGATTCATTACTCTTCTCATTGGCTCTGAAATATGTTTTTTTCAGTTAAAGAGAGGAAGATTGAATTTTTTCAAATACAAAAAAAACAGGAATGCTTTTAGGTGGCCGCCTCGATTTCATCACTGTTTGTTGATGGCCAACAACTGGGAATTCAACCAAACAATCCTAGAACCACAAGAATAGGAATCGTAACTTATAACCAAGAAGCACAGGTCGTTGCCGATTTAAACAACTTCACTTCGGTTGACGAACTCACGAACAAAGTATACAGTATCCTGAATAAAGTATCGACTTCACAAGATTCCTACTTGCATTCTGGATTAGAAGCAGCGAATGACCTTCTGGAACAACAAAGTTTCAATACTGCAAGAGGACATTATCAAAAATTGGTTATTGTATACACATCTGAATACAAGTTAGTTCATTTTAGCGAACTAAAATAATTTGTCCTTTTTTAGAGGGACCGGACCACAGGATCCACTTCCATTGGCTATGCGTATGAAGCAAACCGTTTCAATTGCTACAGTCGCTTACGGTCAAGATGATATTCTTGGATTTCTTGCTGAACTTACGAAAATAGCCACACCCGGATACAACTTCACCAATGAAAACGGAGAGAACACTATTTCCGAATTGAGATCAACCATGCTCCAAGTCAATTGTTACTGTCCAAATGGGTGGTTTCAAATGCGGCAGAGCTATGCAAATGAGAATTCCTTCGAGTACGGTGTCTGCCTGCTTCCAGTCACAATTCAAGCCACGTGGCTTGCATCGAAATTCTCATGCAGAAACCACTGGAACAAAGCATATCTGGTAAACGAATATACTCAGACGAAACATGATTATGTTCTCCGTGAGTACGAGTTTTCCTATTTTAGAAATCATGTTGCATTATTTCAGAAGTAGTTAGGAATAACACTGCATTCAAACAGCCATACACATACTTCATCGGACTATCGTATGTGAATGGAAACTGGCAATGGGAACAGCCGGATGGAATGGATCCAATTGTGGTATTTTCTACTGGTAGATAATGAATAAATACTTTTTTTATTCAGGTTCAAAACTGGAATGACTGGAATCCCGGATTCCCTACTGCTTCATCCACAGCGACGGTTGGAGTGAATGTCCAAACATCACCATCGTCAATGTCGACAGGATGGCAAAATACGAGAAAAGATTTGGCGAGTATGTATGTCTGTGAAGTTGCTTCGTGTGATTCCACGAATTATTGTACTGCTGAAGACATTTAGAAAATATTATTCATGTATGTACACTTATATGCACCTAAAATAAACATTGATATGCTTTGATTTGATTTTTTAAATTGAATTTTGAAACAGGAATCAAAACATAACACCTCACAGGAGACGATAAAAGCGCCGACAAGAGTGTTCCTTCCGATTCAATTATTGTTTTTTTTGTTCATGTTTTTTCCGTTCAGAATGCTTCTCACTTTTTATGCCAAGTTTACAAAACCAGCAGAACCCAAGACTTCAGTAACTTTTTACAGTTCTTCAAAATAGTTTTAACCTCAGGCGTCGCCGGTTACTTTTGGCCGGAGCTTGGTCAGATTCCGGCAAAGACATTGTGGGAAGCCGACCAAGATCCGACAAATTACCGGCCAACTTTCGACCTCTTAACACGCAGCGCCTTCAAATTCCGGCCAAAATCTGGCCATTGTCCGTCACACTGCTGTCAGTGGGCAGCTTCTGACCAAAATTTGACCAAAATCCGTCCAAAAGCCGAACCCCCTCTCAACTTCCGTCCAGAAGTTGCAAGCCGACAGCCGAGACTATCAATTTGCTAGTGTATCGAAACAGGAACATTTTTACAAGGGGCGGTAAAAATATTATCAGAAAAATTACAGTATCCCACGAGTTTCACAGTTTTTCAGACGTAAGGAGTCTCCCTTCTATGACAGTACACCTGCCTGTTTTTTTTTAATTTGTTACCTTTTCTCTCAACCATTCCCGATTCATCATTTGGATTCATTTTCTTTCAGAAGTGGTAAAAAACTAAGATCAAATGTCTAACTACAATACAACTGACTATCGGAACAAATAATCCGAGTGCAAAGGTTTCTTATCATTCAAAATTTGATTTACGACTTCCGAACAGGAGGTACTTATGCATGTTGCTTTTCAATTCTTTTCCTTTTTTGTGGTTTTCCGATTGGAAATTTTTGAACTAGTTTCTTGAAAGTTTACCTGTTTTCAGATTCGTTTTGATTACTTTAGAGTATTTTTGTTCTGTCAAAACCCTTGGAAGGACAGAATGCCGTTTTTTAACCTGTACCATTCAAATATGTTTAACTATGTGATATAATTGTTTCCAGTCAATTAATCAGATCTACTAGCAAAATGGATTCCGATTCAATACCAGAACTATCTTATATAGTCTGCCGGAATCTCCATTTCTTCATTCCAGCGTTTTCATTGTTCATAATCGAAATCGGAATATCCAGTTATCAGATACAGTATCAAGAAGCCCTCACTTTAAGTAGGTACCAGTTGGCTTTAAGTAGGCGCCCGTTCATTTTGATATTTCCAGATTATTCCACACTTATTCTCATTTTGTTATTAGTCTCCATGCCATTATCTGTTTTCAATCCTCCAGTATGGTTCACATTATACATGACAACTTTTATCCACATGCTTTATTTCAAAGGTGGGACACATTATCTTTTTTTTGGTCGTTCAAATATTTTTCAGAGCTTTATATGTTTTCTTTGGGTGCAACAATGATGATGTTCATGTCAATTTTTTATCACGAGGCGACAAGAATCAGGACAAAAACAAAAGGTTCGAATAACCAAAAAAATGGGCCAAAATTGAAAACCTCCTAGATCGACTTCTATCTTCAATCACCGACATTTGAATTCGCTTGCTACTGGTTTCCTTCAATACTTGCTGCAAATACCGTATGCCAACTAATGGAGTGCCCCGCAAACCGTCAACTTCGAGCCCAAATATATCATTTTCTGTGAAAGATATCAAAAAGTAGTCAACAGACAAAATCTTTACTAAAATATCTAAAAAGTTTTGTCAGTTAATAACTTTCTGATAACTTTCACAAAAACAGAAATAAATTGGCTCAACGTTTAAAGTTAGGCGGTCATCCTATTAGAGGGTGTACGGTATTAAAACTTTGGTGTTTAAATTGAACAGTTCCTTGTGGTGCACATGTAATTTTCAACTAATGAAAATGTTTACTTTTTGAATTTTCTCCATAAACCGCTATCAGTGATGTGTCCTATTACATACCACAGGAAGTAGAAGAAACATGAAACCAATACGTGTGATATTATCACTAGAGTCTTCTAAAAAAGTACAAAGAATGAAGATTTCCATGGTCTAACTGTATTGAAAATTTTGGGTTCTTGAATTAAAAGGGTATTTCGATTAGAGGGGTTATTTTCCGTATGATCGCTGAGGGGGGCATCTCTATTGGAGGGACATAGTTTTTTGACGAAACTTTTTCCTACTAAACGTCCATCAACAATTTCTTTATAGCAAAACAAAACACCTATAATTCAGGCAAAAACCAACAAAATTCAGTTCATCGCCGTGCGGCTACAGTAATTTAGCAAAGGGGTCCTGCAAAGGGCACTTCAATTAGTGGGATCCTTCACTTTCATGGGCCCTTCTAATACAGGTTTACACTGTAGTTTTAGACAATAGTCTGAAACTTGCTTTCCTGGGCATTGGACAGAAAAGGGCAACGTTGGAAATCTAAGAATTTGAGGATCTTGTTGCTGTCGATAATTTTCAATCGTTTGTGAAAAGTTCTAAAATTTCAGAAGGTTTACTTTTTGTTGAATCTCAATGACTCACAAACAAAGTCAAAATATTCAATTTAAAGGTATTCCGATTTTTTTCAATTTTAAAATTAACAAGTTAAAGTTCCACTAAAATAGCAGTTGAAATGGGAGTCATGAGGTCACAGCACTCTCGCATTGCAAAATTTTGAAACAGTATCAGTTTCGAAATGTAATCTAATAATTCGAAAATCTTCGCTGTAAAATGTGTGCGACTTAAACAACGAAAAATTGTTATCAGCGTTGTTGACATCGCTCATGAGTTCGAAATGGCGCCGGCAGAAAAAAAAACGGCGGAAGAGTAGATAAAATTTATGTACCGATCCTCAAAAGAAATTCCATTAACTTGAAATTTTAATAACATAATACGATTCCGGGTGTGGCACTTCGCGAAAGACACAAAAGTCTGGTAAAGATTTCAGGAATTTCCGTGGGCGTGGTGGAGGATGCGGGAAACATAGAGGAATTAGGCTAAACACAAAAGTATCATCTTCCTTGATTATCAGTAACTTTTTCATGGAAAGACACAAAAGCTATTCGTATATAAAGGTTGGTGATAACTGATGCAGCATCTTCACAATATGAAGTTGTTCGGTTTTTTAGTATTTATTGGAGTTTATTGTAAGTGTTATGAAACATTTCTTCTCAAAATTTCTAATTTTTTCAGGTTGTTATGGTCAACATTATACAACAGATAGCCCTCCAGCATATTACGATAGAAGATGTGGAGAAGATCTGGGGAACCTGTGGCTCGATGTGGTGGTAGTGGTTGACAATTCGAAAGGAATGACAAACGGAGGATTGATCAATGTACCAATTTTTGATCTTCAACATCATCTAAAACATATTTTCAGATCGCTGCCAGCATTGCTAGTGTGTTCAGTAATGGTACTAGAATCGGAACGGATCCCTACGAACCAAGAACCACCAGACTTGGATTGGTCACCTATAACGCTGTTGCAAATACCGTATGTTGTTAAAGACACACGTTAGAAAAATCATAGTCATCAAATTTTATTCCAGGTTGCCAATCTCGATACATACCAATCTCTCGATGACGTCTATGATGGAATCTTCACTGCATTGTCTCAAGTCAGTAGCTCGGACGAATCCTATATTGTTCACGGACTCGCTCAAGCAGAGGACATCCTTGAGGATGGAAAGAGCAATAAGAACCGTACTCATTATCAAAGAGTTGTGATTGTCTATGCTTCCACCTACAAGTGAGTTCCCTTCATTCATTTTATCCGCAAGTTTTGTATGTATCTTTCAGAGGAACTGGACCTTTGGACCCAATCCCAGTTGCTGACCGTCTCAAAACTGCTGGAGTAACCATTGTGACTGTAGCCTACGATCAGGATGGAGATGGTGCTCTTCTTGCTGACCTCCAATTGATTGCCACTCCTCCATACAACTTCTCAAACACGGATCAAGCTGGAAACGAGATCGGAGAAATTCAAGGAGCTCTTTTGCAAGTGAATTGTTTTTGCCCGAATGGCTGGACCCAATACCGCGCTTCGTTCACTGATATTCATTCCTATCGTTACGGTGTTTGTATTCAACCTGAGAACTTGAAAGCTGTCTGGCGTGCTGCTCAATCATCGTGCCGAATCAGATGGAACAACGCTTACTTGGCAACAGAGTTCGACGGTACTAAACACGATTTTATTCTCTCGGCTATCCGGAACCAAACCGGGTTTATTCAACCATTCAGTTATCATATTGGACTTAATTTGGTCAATGGAGTTTGGGTTTGGGATCACCCAGTTGGATGGGCACGACCACAACTTCAGAACTGGTACGGATGGTTACCAGGATATCCACTTCAATCTTCCACGTTGACAGCTGTCTTGAACTCACAACCAAGTACCGATGTGAAGACTGGATGGGTAAATATTGCTCCATTGAATACTGCAGCTAACTATGTTTGTGAAACTGCCTCATGCGATACGGACAATTACTGTGCATCAGTGACGTCGGATACTGCAGTCCAAAAGCATTGAATGATTTATTTTTTGATTGTAGATACAATTTTGTTGTTATGGAAATATTTTTGAATGAAGACTCTTCTCTTGTTCCACGAAAATATTATCTCCGGAAAAAAAACCACCCGTAAGATCTGTATAAGAGGGACCCCTTTAAGGGATCCTCTCCTTTTTGCTCGAAAACTTAATTTACAACGAGAATTCACTAAAGATGACGGGAAAAAAAGGATTATTCGGAGGTACCATCGAACAAAAGAAGGTCCAGCTCTTCTAATACAGGTTTCTCGGTATATAAACATCAGAATCAAAGTTAATCAACACCTCAATAAAACACGCGTCAGTCAGACCTATTTTTTCCGTTTTCAGCAATGCTTCGCTTATCAAAAAAAATAATTATTTCACTGCATTCCCTCTATTTTGAACCTATGCTGTACAAATGACTCGAATTCTTTCTACTGAATGAACTATATTCATTTCAATCCCCTTAATTCTTTCGATGACGAACGACATTTAACTGACTCATTCAGATCAAACTTATAAAGCAAAAATTCCATATAAAAAGTAAACAGATTCAAATTAGTTCAGTCATTTGTTCTGTTTAAAATGTATATTTCTGTGATGTTTGTTGGGCTTTTCGGCATGTTTATGTTCGCAGGTGAGCCCCGCATCGTAATTAGACAAATTTTAGGTGTCGATCATCACTTTTAATTTAACTTTTTTTATTAAAAAAAAGACTTTAAATGTATAAAGCGAAACAATATTGATTTTCAAGACGTGTCGTTTTGTTAGTATCTAACTGCATGTCAATTATCATTAGGGTGTGGTTTCGAGCACACCATCACTCAACAGGTCGAAGAATCAACAATTGATACAAATATCGGTTGCCGTAAAACCTGTATTAGAAGGGCCCTCTTAGTAGAAGAGCTCATCTAAAAGAGGGGCCCTCCTTTTTGCTCCTTCTTTCTGTTCGAAAGTTTTCTAAATTTTGGTGAAATTGATAGATTTTCAAATTTTTGGTTTCACCGAATTTTTTTTGATGAAAAACAGACCGCACATAAAATGGCCTTGTCTAATTAAATTCTATGACTGCCTTTCTAAAACAGGTCTTATGGTTTTCCAGAAATCTATTTACAGGATCAGCAGACCCTGTAACATATTTGGATAGACGTTGTGGAGATGACTTGTCAAACTTATGGTTAGACGTTGTCTTGGTTGTTGACAATTCTCGAGCTGTAACTCGTATGGATAGGGTCAGAAAGAATATTTTGAACACTTTCCACAATGGAACAAATATTGGAACATCAGAAGACAATCCAAGAACTACGAGGGTTTCTTTGGTTACTTACAACAAGTATTCTGAAATCGTAAGTTCAATAATATGATTTATTCGCTGAAGTTAAGTTTTCAGATTGCAGATTTGAATCAATTTGAATCATTTGACGATTTCAACAAATCAATTTCTATGAACCTTGCCAACTCGAGTACTTTCGACGAATCTTATCTTATAAAAGGATTAGAATCCGCTACGGTTGTTTTAGAGAAATCTTCCCTGGCTGGAGAGCGTCTGAACTATAAAAAAGTCATTGTGATTTACGCCTCTCTGGGCGATGAGTCAGTTTTTCCATCAAAAAACTTTATTCAAATTAATAATTTTTAGTATTCTGCTTGCAATCCCTCTAGCCGATCGCCTGAAAGCAGATGGTATCACTATAATAGCCGTAGCTGAAACAAGTGGAACTGATAATGAAAAACTAGATTTTTGGCTAGATCTGATTTCAAGCGGAAGTATGAGTTTTTCGATCCAGGATGAGAAATTGGTTCAAGAAATTCAAGATTCATTTTTGCAAAGTAATTGTTTTTTAAAGCAAATTTACCGTTCTTCCTAACCTTTTTCAGCCAACTGTTTTTGCCCGAATGGTTGGGTTCAACTCCGTACTTCTTATTATGATATGCATTCTTATCGATACGGTATCTGCTTATCACTGAGTCCATTGACTGCAATTTGGAGAGCAGCTCGTTTGAGTTGTAGGAATCAATGGAGAAACGGTTATCTTGTTAATGAATATGAAGCCAACAAGCATAATTATGTACTAGGTACATATAGAAAAGATAATGCCTTGAATGAGTACAAATTGTTTCAGAATCACTCCGAAATTCATCACTTTTTCGCTTACCGTATACATACCACATCGGATTGACTTATTTAACTGGATCTTGGTATTGGGATCAGCCGGAAGGAAACTCGTTGAGAAAAGTGGATAATCAGCAATGGAAAAATTGGAACCCTGGTTATCCAATCTTATCATCAACACAAACGATTGGAGTAAATGTACAAAATATAACTGACGAGTCAGAAACGGGATGGCAAAATGAAAATGCTATGGGTGAAGCACACTATTATGTTTGTGAAGTCGCTTCTTGTGATACGGATAATTATTGTGAAACCGAAGATAATTAATTAATTTTATGGGTTTTTTTGTATATTTTTAAACAATGATCTCAAAGTTTCTTAAGAAATGAACGATTCGAAAAAAGTCATCAGAAAAGGTCAACTGATATTTTCGATCAACTGATAACACAGATCAACTGATAAAAACACTCGTCTTGTGTTTTTCAACCGGGATCGGTCCAGGGTCCAAGGGTACGTTGAGTTTTCAGGACACATCAGTTCAGGGGGTACATGGTAACTTGAGGTGTAGGGCGTGTTAGCCGATGCATACAATTTCGAGCAAAAAGTGAAATAGTCTGTTAAAAAATATGTTTTGTCCTCCCAAATGTACCACAAAATTTCATGTACCCTTTGACCCAATGTACCCGAATAACTAGATGTACCGTTTCGATGTACTCTGAAGCATGAAAATTCTCACTGAAAGAAAAAAGAATACAGTAATGATTTTGCACCGGATTGTGAACCAACTCCGATCATTAAAACCAATTGACATAAAGACAAAGAAAATGTTGCCAATTTCAAATCTCCGCTCGCATTGTTTCGGAATGTGTTCTAATGGTATTCACGAAATGTCAATAAATTATCAGCGGAAACATCTTGTTGACGAGATTCCTTCCCATTGTGGGAAGAATCGGAACTCTCTAAGAACCTGGAACTATTTCTCAGTTACTGTCAAAATTGAAAAGTTCATTGTGGCTAAATGTTGCGGAAAACTAGTACAAAAGGAATGTGCACCGACGGAAAAATATTCTCATTCGGCCTGAAATCAGAAACCAAAATGAAAATCTTTTCTGTTTCTTTCCTACTGTTCCGACTTCAAGGTAAGCTGAATTCTTTTGAAAAGTCCTATAAAATTTGTTTTTAGTGTCCTACTGTATGCCAGCTCGGGGTGATGCTACTGATGACGATACCGAAACAACTACGGCTTCACCAATTTCCAACTACATGGATCGTCAATGTGGAGAAAATTTAAGCAATCTGTGGTTAGACATAGTCTGTGTCGTGGATATATCAAAAGGAATGACCAATCAAGGACTGACCAAGGTGGCTGCCAACATCGCCAGTGTGTTCAGTATGGGAACTAGAATTGGAACTCAAGCTGGAGAGCCAAGAACCACTCGAGTCGCACTTGCCACCTACAATCAGAATGCCAAAATTGTAAGTTTTTTGGAACATTTCCAACTATAGCAAGGCTTTAAGAACGCTGGACTTGACGTCTATCAATCGCTCGACGATCTCTACGACGACATTTTCACTGTTCTCCATGCAGTCAGCTCCACAGATGAATCGTATCTTGCAAGAGGAATAGCTGCAGCTGGAGATCTTCTCCATATTGCAAAACAAAATGTGACTCGTTCTCACTACAAGCAAGTTGTGATTGTCTATGCATCCAGTTACAAGGGAACTTGAGATCTGAATCCACTTCCTGTTGCTGATCGTTTAAAAACCGCAGATGTTTCCATTATCACTGTTGCTTTCAATCAGGACAATGACGGAGCTCTTCTGGAAGATCTTGCGCTTGTTGGCTCTCCAAACTTCAATTTCGCGAACACCGATTCGAATCCAGTTGGAGAAATTCAAGGAGCTTTATTGCAAGGTTAGCTTCTAATTTTGACAAATTCTCACTTTTCATTGTTTTTAGCCAATTGCTTCTGTCCAAACGGCTGGACTCAATACCGCACTTCTTATGCCTATGTCAACTCGTACCGCTTCGGAGTTTGCATCGCTCCTACCTTAAGTTCCGCTGTCTGGAGAGCTGCCAAATTGAGTTGCCGCAACCAATGGAAGAATGTTTACTTGCTCAATGAGTATGACATCAACAAACACAATTATGTTCTTGGTAAGCTGTGGAAAACAAGATGATTTGTTTATTTTGATTTTTCAGACCTCATCCAAAACACGACAGCATTCAAAACACCCTACCAATACCACATCGGACTCTCCTATTCAAATGGGCCTGGTATTGGGAGCAACCAGATGGACAGCCATTGAAACAACTTCACCACTGGACCAACGGGAATCCTTGGTACCCAAAATCCGATTCATCTTTGACTGTTGCCACCAATCTTCAATTGACCAGTAAAATTGCAACCGGTTGGGAGAATACTGATCAACTCAAAAATGCACAGTTCAGTTGCCTGGGGCATCTACCCTCCAACCCCTTCTAAAGGTTCCCTCTAACCACGCAACGACACTCCGCTATCCCGCTCGCGCACAATTTATATTTAGTTTTGAGTGATTGCGAGCTTGGATTTGGCTCGTAGTTTTCAAGAGACTCTTTTAAGGGCAGAGGGTCTTGTCGGAAGAATTGTTGAAAATTTTAGACCCACCTTCTTCTAGGTCGTTTGATCTCTCCTGCTTCATCGATCCTCATTGGTATTTGTTTCTAATTCAATTTATTTGCCAATCCATCAATGGTTTTTGTTCATCTGGAGTTTCAAAAAAAGCCTCGTAAATTTGATTTTCATTTCCTGTTGAAAATTTTTGTCGTTCCGGGTTGAATTCCGTTCGCTGTTTCTGGAATTCAAATCAAATGTTAGAACACAAAAACCATATTTAAACTTATCTTTCAAACTATTCATATTATTTTGTTCCTGGATCCATCGTGTGTTTCATCCGATCCAAACTTCTCGGTCCTCCAAATGTGTATCTGGAAATATTTCTAATTTTGGGGCATGGAATTGGATTGATCGGAGGCAGAGAGAGAAGAGCATAAAGGGGTAAAACAAAATAAGAAACAAGGTTGGCGTGAGCAGGGCAAGGAATGTTTCTGAGGTCTTGAAGCATCTCCGTTTGTCCCAAAACTCCAAAAAATGAACATAGACCGAAGGAGGACAATTTGGGCAAGATCAGGGCAAGAGCAGGGCAAGAGCAGGGCAAGAGCAGGGCAAGAGCAGGGCAAGAGCAGGGCAAGAGCAGGGCAAGAGCAGGGCAAGAGCAGGGCAAGAGCAGGGCAAGAGCAGGGCAAGAGCAGGGCAAGAGCAGGGCAAGAGCAGGGCAAGAGCAGGGCAAGAGCAGGGCAAGGGCAGGGCAAGAGCAGGGCAGAGCAGGGCAAGAGCAGGGCAAGAGCAGGGCAAGAGCAGGGCAAAAGCAGGGCAAGAGCAGGGCAAGAGCAGGGCAAGAACAGGGCAAGAGCAGGGCAAGCAGGTAGCATTTTCGTTTGTCCCGAAAGCCAAAAAAATAAGAAAGGACGGAACGAACACAACTGAATGCGAGGACATTCGCGGGGGTGGACAGCGCACGCTACGCGACCGCGACGCGAGCCAACAATTGACCTCCTGGGAAAATATGTTTACTTGAGGCAAGTCTTCACCCAGTCTCCTCTTCACCTTGTCAATCAATCAGGTCAATAGAATACAATAAAGGGATTAGAATGGAGTATTCAAAAATACAAAAATTTGAATAATCAAATTCCATGAATAAAGTTTCTAGACTTCTATTTGCCTCAAGGTACTATTCAAAAAATGGAAAAAAAAGTTTCAATTTCCAATTAATCAAAATTTTGAGTCAGGGATGGGCAAGAGCGGGGCATTAGAAGGAGAAGGGAAGGACCAGGGGAGTTTCTAATTTCTCGGAGCTTTTTAGCGCTCAGTCTGTAAAATGATCTACTAACCTGGTTTAAATTGGATCATCTTCAATTATATCTTCATTTTTCAAAATTTTTGCTTCCTAACCTCCTAAAATTTGTAATTTTCCAGAACTTTCTTCTCTTTTATCGAGATTTGTGGTAATTTTATATGAATTCCAGGAAGTTTTTGAAGTCACTTGGGTCCCAGGAAGCGGGTCAGAAAAAGCGCCCCAGAATACTCGTAAGCCAGAAAAATTATAATTTTAAAGTGGAGGCGGGTTTCATCTAGATCATAATCTATTTCTTTAGAATCAAAGGGAACGCGCGCTTTTTGGCTCATCGTTTAAAACTTTGATTCTCAGCCAACGAATTTCGGCGGCGAATTTAGAATTTCTGAAAAATTTACTGGCGCGCGCTTTCTGACCCGCTTCCTTTGGTAAAAGGTGTGTAAGAGAAGGGCAAGTGAATGACAAAAAGGTGAGACCTTGGAGTTTCAAGTGGTAGGGGGAAATCAGTTGGGCTGAAAAAAAAGAAAAAAGATATTGGATAGAAAATGAGTGCATCAATGATCCTTTTGTCCTCCTTCTACAAATATTATAGCCAATAAGCCACTATTTTTGATCTACCTAATATTTTCATCAAAAAAGTTTGATCTACATTGGAGGAATGAAAGTCTAGAGATATTGGATGGATGGGCTAGTGGTGAAGGGGTAAAGGAAAGGACTGAAAAGAAGGAAAAAAAAAAAGAAAAATCGTAAAAAAGAAATGACTAATGAGAAGAGATAGTGGGCGTGGCCTGTTTGACATCCTATTGGTATTGACACCTATGGTTTACAATGTGATAATTGAGCATTCAACGACAATAGGGTTAGACATTTTTGTGAGTTTTACCCACCTGTCATTTCAAAAAGCTATTAACAAATTTTAGCACAAATTGGAACAATGCCTAAATATCTAATAAGGCTTTGAGCCGAGTACTTAATGCAAGTCTGGGCCCCTTTCCCTTTTCACATAGTCAGTTAAAATCTATTTCGATATCTTCATTTTCTCATTCCGGACTTTTAGCAACAAAAATCAGTTTAAACCCGTACGAGAGCACATGATCAGTGGTAGATGGAGACTTCTCCTACAGTAATGTTTCAGCGTGTCAGGACCCAACAAAGCGGCGAGAGCTCCGGTGGAATTTATCGATGTCAAATGGTAACAACCAATTTTCTCGTTTTTTCGCATGCATGCATGAATATGCTTGAGAAACACAAAGATAAAAAAGTTTTTCAATAATTTCATTACACAAACTGAATCATAGAAACTGAAATGTTAAGCTCAAAGCAGATCTTATAACATAAGTTGTAATGACAAAAATCGGAGGTTGCCATGCAACTGGTGTTGGTCTAAAGAAAAAATAGAAAAAATAGAAAAAATGAAAAAAAAAAAATAGAAAAAACAGAAAAAATGGGAAAAATAGAAAAAGTTAAAAAAAATAGAAAAAATGGAAAAATAGAAAAAAAATGGAAAAATGAAAAAATAGAAAAAATGAAAAATAGAAAAAGTGAAAAAATAGAAAAAATGAAAAAATAGAAAAAATAGAAAAAATAGGAAAAAATGAAAAAATAGGAGAAATGGAAAAAATAGAAAAAATGGAAAAATAGAAAAAAATAGGAAGAATAAAAAAATGGGAAAAATAGAAAAAGTTAAAAAATAGAATAAAATGGAAAATTAGAAAAAAAAATGAAAAAGTGCAAAAATAGAAATAATGAAAAAAAATGAAAAAAATAGAAAAAATAGAAAAAAAATAGAAAGAAAAAAAAAAGAAAAAAGCAAGAGCTCCAAGGAGCGTTGGTGCAAAGTAAGCGAAGCTTTTAAAAAAATTGAAGCTATATTGTACTTCATAAAAATAAAACCCATCTTTCAGTCAATTGTTTCAATCCTGACGGATGGACTCAATATCGATCTTCTTACTCTTATGTTGATTCGTCTCGCTTCGGTGTTTGCATGGCTGCTACCGTAATCGAAGCAAACTGGAGAGCAGCACAGTTCAGTTGTAGAAGTCAATATTCTAATGCTTACTTAATCAATGAGTACGACCTCAATAAACACAAGTATATTCTTGGTGTGTTTTACTTAATGGTACAAATATATTTTTGAACTTTCAGACTTTCTTCAAAATATAACTGAATTCAAAAAACCATACACCTACCATCTCGGATTGTCTTATTCCAAAGGAACGTGGAATTAGGAGCAACCGTCTGGGGTGCCACAAAAGCAACTTTAACAATGAAGCTATTGGAATCCAGGATATCCAAAAAGCGATTCCACTCTCACCGGTGTTACGAACTTTGAGAATCAAGGAGAAGAATCAAGCGGATGGCAAAATGTAAATGTGAACAAGGAATATCAATTCTATCTCTGTGAAGTCGCAGCATGCGATACAGAAAACTTTTGTGAACCAGTTGATAATTGAGTTCTGATGATAATTGATGTGAGAATAAGAATAAACTACTTTCAATCTGAATTTTTTGCGAACCAATTAATCGACTCCCAATATAAATGTCCTGTAAAACCTCTAATAGAAGGGCCCTCACATTTTCAAGTTCTAATTTATTCTCTTTTCTCTAATAGAAGCCCATAGGTTTCTATTTTTCAACATTTTTCTCAGGATGGGATTCTATGAGCGATGGGCTTCTATTTTTCAATAACTTATTTTCAAAAATTTTTATTCAAAAGTTCAGAAATTTGACAATTCGGAATATAAGACTTCTGAAGTTCAATGTTTTGGAGAATTCGAAATTTTCACTCTGCAGTTCTAAATTCCAAGATTCCGAATTTATGAAATCCTGAGATTCTATGACAATAGAATAGAGAAATTTTTCCACTATTACGTTGAAAAATCACAATTAAGAGTACTTTTTTCATAAAATTCGATCGAGAAAAAAAATCTCAAATTTCCACTGTCTTATATCAAAATTTAAAATTCCGGAATTTTGAAAAAAAAACTTCTAAAATTCTAAAAATCTAAAATTGCGAAATTAAAATATTCAGAAATTGATAAATTGTTCTAAAACCACAGTTCCAAAAATACTGGGATTTTGAATTTTCGTAAGAAATACGGTATCTCGGTTCCCGTAAAAGATAGCGAAAATGTTCCAACTCAAAGCACTTTTGAAATTGTCATAAACAATTTATCGATCGACAACTTTGCTATATCTTTGACAGGAAATGAGATAAATCGGCTCAAAGTTGATAGTTAGGGAACCCCACTTGTGTTCAAGCGAGCAGGTCAGAAATCGCGCCCCAGTAAATTTAGGAAAAATTCTAAATTCGCTGCCGAATTTCGTTGGATGAGTTTCAAAGTTTTAAATGAAGAACGCAACCTGTTGATTTTAATGAAATAGATCATGACCTAGATCAAACCCGTGTCCACTTTAAAATTATTAAATTTCTTCTGGCCTGCGAGTTTGCCGGGGCGCCTTTTCTGACCCGCTCGCTTGAACCCAAGTGGGACCCTTGTGTTTAGTAGACCCTGAAGTAAATGTTCAAGTCTACAATTATCGCGACAAAAAACTCCGACGATTTCAAAACGTCTGAAATCTTCATCATTTATTTCTCCTATGATACCCTCTGCATTCTCAAAACCATCAGCCATATGACCTTTCTAAAAATATTGAATTGGCCTTGATTCCAATTTTTTGTCATCCCGTTTAGTAATCGAAAACATTTTCTTTTTTGGTCATTGTGCTACAATTCTTATCAGTTTTTTGTTTTGTCATGATAAACTACAGATTCAGCACTGTATGATGACTTTCTACAGCAATCTACAGACAAATCAGAAAGTGGGTCAGGTATATAAAAGCACTGAAAATGGTCGAAGTGGTCTAGTGCACAATGCGTGTATATATTCTGTTAGCTGCTTTTTTACTAGGTTCGTTTTTCGAATCATTACCAAGTTTGAAATCTTTTTCAGGAGTATTTTGCTCCCCAGTTCCTCAAAACTCCGATGATCTCTACACATATAAATTATGCACTGGAAATATTAAAAATCTGTGGTTAGACGTAATGGTAGTTGTAGACAAATCTCAATTGATGACAAATGCTCAGCTGTGGCAGGCATGCCTGGATTTTAATTAAAACTCAAAACGTTTGTAATTTTAGGTCCGAAACACACTAACTCAAGTTCTGGGGTCAATTTCTACAATCGGTCCAGTGAAATATCCAGCAGATCCGCGTAGTACTTGTGTTGGTGTCGTCACTTACGATGACAATGCTACAACCCAATCTCAGTTAGATGCTTCGACATCTTTCAGTGATCTTTACAATGTTATTCAAAGTTCAATGGTTGCCGTAGACAGCACGAACAATTCCTACTTAAGCTTGTAAGTTTGAAATTGGATACTAAAATAAATAAAAAACATTTCAGAGGACTTCTTGCTGCTGAAAAGGCGTTCAAAGATGGAAGAAGTCGCTCATACCGATATAACTACAGAAAAGTGGTTATTGCTTTTGTGGCTGATTATCAGTGAGTTACTAAAAACCACAAAAACAGAAAAATTGTTTAAATTCAGAGGACAAGGGACTGCTTTAGATGCTATGCCAATTGCAAACCGTCTGAAGGACAACACTGTCTCCATTATTACGGTTGCTTGTACTAGTGATCCAGTCAAACAAGCTGCTATCGCAGCTATCGCCAGTACTGGATTGAGTTTGATTGACGAAATGGATACTCCAAAATTGGTCAAACAGTTGACAAATGCACTCGTTTCTGGTATTATACAAAGTTGATTTTGTCTCTTGATTTTTTTAAAATTCAGTAAACTGCTTCTGTCCAAAAGACTGGGCTCAGTTTCGAACGGATATCAATAACGCAACTTCCCCAGCGTACGCAGTTTGTATCGCAGGATTCAAGGCAACTGGAGGCAGTTACGGATATAAACATGCCATTGAATATTGTGCAGATGAAGAAAAAAGTGCACATTTAGCAAATGAATTCAGTAAAGAGAAGCATGATTTTGATAACAGTGAGCTGATTATAGGCATGCAAACTAAAAGTTTATTTTTCTTTCAGAGTACATGGAAACGACATTCACTTGGGAGTTTTCTACTATCGTATACTATATTGGGTTGAATTATTACAAACAGTGGATATGGGAAACACCAGCTGGACAATCTGATCTTCCATTTAACCCAAGTGTATATTCGAAATGGGCGCCTGGATGGCCACAAGCCAACTCGACGGATCAAGTGATATCCAATCAGAAATGGATTGGTGATACTTCTGGAGAAGTGGGTCTTGCAATTAGAATTATTCAGCTAGTTCAAATTGAAATTTTCAGTTCTTCTGGGCACCTCCACAAACGAATGATTGGTTGTTCCTTTGCCAAGTTGAGTCAAGTAGTACAGAACATTATACGGACTTTAATCAGTTTTAGCTTTTAAACAATTTTTATTGTTCGAATGTATATTTTTAAAGTTTTCTAAATGAATCACAATGTAAGCAAAAAATAACGATTCGAACATCATAGCAAGATGAAAGAGGGTCTAAATGTAAGAGTTGTTTTTTCTAATTTTTTGGATATTTTTTGCCAAAATTAGAAGAAAATGAGGAAATGTGAGTTTTTACAAAAATTGATGAAGTTCAGAAGAAGAAGTGAAGGGGAGAATCAGAAGTCAGCGTCATCCGTATCCAGAGAAGTCCAATCAGAAGAAAGAATTATTCTCCAGACATCATCTCCATGAATTCGTCGAAATCGACAGTTCCTGAACCGTCAGCGTCAATTTCGGCGATCATTTCATCGAGTTCTTCCTCGGAGACGTTATCATCAAGAGCACGGAGAATGTCACGGAGATCGGAGACGTTTATGTACCCATTTCCCTGAAATTGATTCATTTTGAGCTGAATTTTCGAAAAAGAAGCTTGAGACAGTCGTTAGAATAATATGAGGATTCCAATTTTTAGAATGACAGTCAAGCTAGAACAAAACTAAAGAAAAGCAATAAAGTTCCAGATTCCCAATATCTAAAATAGGTGTTTTTAATAGTTTAATATCAGACGTACAGTGCTCAGTCTTACAATCAATTCTCAAAAATCGCATTCCAGAAATTTTTCGAAATTCCTTAGCAATCACAAGACTAATAAATCAATAAACATCCCTTTCTTATTGACCTAATACTTTGTTCCCATCAAATCTCGTTCTTCATTATCAGAAAATGACACAGTAAACATTCTAACCTCTTTATCGTAGAGACGGAAAGCCTCACGGAGTTCTTCTTCGAGTCCCTCGTCGTTCTCATTGTTGACAACGAAGTTGGCAACCATAGCAGCGAATTCTTCGAATTCAATCTCTCCGGAACCTTTAAATTTTGAGAAATTAAAACTAAAAACATTTCAATTTTAGACATACCGTCAGCGTCGAACTCCTTGATGAGTTGCTTCAAATCACGCTCCTCGAAAGCTTGTCCCATGGTACGGAGGATTTGTCCGACCTGGAAAAATTCCAGATTCATTTTAACAAAATTCGAATAAAAAAGGATACCTGGGTGGCACGAATGTATCCCTTTCCCTCCTTATCGAACATGTTGAAGTACTTTCTGAATTGCTCGATTTGGTCAGCGGAGAGCTGCTCCAAAGCATCAGCCACGACATCACCCTAGAATATGGAAATTTAGTAAATTTGAAAAAATAGGTTCTACTGTTAAGAAACTAACCATGATTGCTGATCGACGAAGAAAAGTTTCGAGGACACAGAAAGGGAGAAATGTGAAAAGAGAGAATCCGCAAAGTGCTCAAGTGGGCTCGGGAGGAGCTAAAGAAAGGCACACAATGCGTCGGCGGGGGAGCAGAAAATGTTTGGATTTTCAGTGAATAGAGTGTGGATTAAGGAGAGACGCAGAGTATCGGCGTTGGGGTACTGTGCAGTGAGGGATACACCGGATCACAGGGACATAGACATAGGGAAGAGAGAGGTGAAGGAGCAGGTAAACTGATAGAAGAAAGAATTTTGAAGTATGAAGTAAAGAGTTGTGAGCCGTAATAAGTTTCGGGGATTTAACCAAAAGTACTACGAGTTCTACTAAATACTATCAGAAAACCGATACTCCAAACGTGTGGAGCACAGAATTCAATTTTCAACTGTAACCCATTGATATGTCAGGACACTTCTAAATTACAGCAGCCACATTTGGATCGGGTACACCCGGTACTGCCCAAATGGTGACCAAATTTGGTCAAAAATGAAATTTTTGCTCTATCATTTCCTAGGTGATCAGTAAATATCCTAAAATGTCCCAAAAGGAACTATGACAGGGCCCGTTTTTCAAGTATGGTAACATCATTCAAATTATGATGCAATTATTTATTCTTTAAAGGTGGGGGGACATGAGAAGAATAATGTTGTCGAAATTCCGTTAAAATATGCTCCTCGAGGAGTTGAACTTGTCGAGGCGAGTGTTGGAGGTGCGGTGCCGCTACCGACTGAGCTTCCCCCGTAAAATCTCCTGTCCCCCCACCTTTAAATACAATTTCAAATAAAGACTTTGTCACAATAGTTATCCGTATCACAGGACTTCTACTTCGCAGATAAAGAACTGTGCATTTTTGAGTTGATCGGTATTCTCCCAACCGGCTGCCATTTCACTGGCCAATTGAAGATTAGTGACAACAGTCAAAGATGAATCGGATTTTGGGTTACCAGGATTCCAGTTGGTCCAGTGTTGAAGTTGCTTCAATGGCTGTTCATCTGGTTGCTCCCAATACCAAGCCCCCTTTGAATAGGAGAGTCCGATGTGTTATTGGTAGGGTGTTTTGAATGCTGTCGTGTTTTGGATGAGGTCTGAAAGTTAAGTATAAAAAATCATGTTGTTTTTCACAGTATACCAAGTACATAATTGTGTTTGTTGATGTCATACTCATTGAGCAAGTAAGAATTCTTCCATTGGTTGCGGCAACTCAATTTGGCAGCTCTCCAGACAGCTTGAATTACGGTAGGAGCAATGCACACTCCGAAGCGGTACGAGTCGACATAGGCATAAGAAGTGCGGTATTGAGTCCAGCCGTTTGGACAAAAGCAATTGGCTAAAAACAATGAAAAGTGAGAATTTGCCAAAATTAGAAGCTAACCTTGCAATAAAGCTCCTTGAATTTCTCCAACTGGATTCGAATCGGTGTTCGCGAAATTGAAGTTTGGAGAGCCAACAAGCGCAAGATCTTCCAGAAGAGCTCCGTCATTGTCCTGATTGAAAGCAACAGCTATAATGGAAACATCTGCGGTTTTTAAACGATCAGCAACAGGAAGTGGATTCAGATCTTCAGTTCCTTTGTAACTGGATGCATAGACAATCACAACTTGCTTGTAGTGAGAACGAGACTGCATGGAGAACTGTGAAAATGTCATCGTAGAGATCATCGAGAGATTGATAGACGTCAAGTCCAGCGTTCTTAAAGCCTTGCTATAGTTGGAAATGTTCCAAAAAACTTACAATTTTGGCATTCTGATTGTAGGTGGCAAGTGCGACTCGAGTGGTTCTTGGCTCTTCAGCTTGAGTTCCGATTCTAGTTCCCATGCTGAACACACTGGCAATGTTGGCAGCCACCTTGGTCAGTCCTTGATTGGTCATTCCTTTGGATGTATCCACGACACAGACAATGTCTAACCACAGATTGGTCAAATCCTCTCCACATTGACGATCCATGTAGTTGGAAATTGGTGAAACTGTAGTAGTTTCGTTATCGTCATCAGCAGCATCACCTCGAGCTGGCATACAGTAGGACACTAAAAATAAATTTCATGAGATTTTTTAAAAGAACTCAATGCATACCTTGAAGTCCGAACAGTAGGAAAGAAACAGAGAAGATCTTCATTTTCGTTTCTGATTTTCAGATCTCCATTTATAAAGTCTCCCATGAAGTATACAACCCAATATTAATTCAGAAAAATTCATGTTAAAAAAAGCGACAAAAATTAATTTTCCAAATAGTTCGTATAATGTTCTGTACTGCTGGATTGAACTTGACAGATGAATAACCAGTCATTGGTTTGTGGAGGTGCCCAGAAGTACTGAAAAATGAATAATAAACTTTATGTTACCCTCCCTATTCAATCACCTCTTGTTTCGGATGTCCACTCCACTGTTGAATGGCAATTACTTGATCCGTTGAATTTTTCTGTGGATATCCTGGAGCCCACATTGAAAATTCATTTGGATCTAACTGAAATTTCAAACATCGTATTTAAACATCTCAAAGTTTCTAAATACCGGGATCCTGGCTTGTCCAGATGGTTGCTCCCAAACCCATTGATTTTTTTGGTAACTTAATCCGATAAAATATTCGACAGGTGAGAATTCCCATGCCCAAGTAGTCTCCATGTACTCTGAAACAGCGATTTCAAAGGTAAGAAATGTTTCCAAAAGGACTCACTGATCATAAAGTCGTGTTTATTCAAACTGAACTCATTTGCTAAATACGCCCCGGGAACTGCACTGGCACAATAATCAATTGCATGTTGGTATCCATAGCTTCCTCCAGTTGCTTTGTATCCTCTGACACAAATTCCATATTGGGTAGAGGTACTGTTAAAAAGGATCACTACGGTATTGAATCCACTCTTCTGGGCAAAAGCAGTTGGCTGTAATTCAGAAGTTTAATTTGACGTACCGAATAAAGAAAATCAGAATTTACCACTCAAGAGAGCGTTTGTCAACTGTTTCACCAATTTCGGTGTATCCATTTCATCAACCAAATCGAATCCCGGACTGGCGATTCCTTGAATAGCAGTTTGCTTGTCTGAATTACTAGTGCATGCAACGGTGATAATGGTGACTGCATTGTCTTTCAAACGGTTAGCGATTGGCATTGCATCCAAAGCAGTTCCGTGCCCTCTAAAAATCACTAATCGACTTAGAACATCCTTGGATGGAAATCTTACTGATAATCAGCAGCGAATGCGATAATAACTTTCTTGTAGTTGAAACGATACGTACGATTTCTCCCATCTTTCAATGCTTTTTCAGCTGCCAAAAGGGCTCTAAATACATTGGATCCAAGATTAAAATGTTGAGCTCTCTCAACTCACAAACTCAAGTAGGAAGTGTTCGTGTTGTCTACAGAAATCAACGAGCTTTGAATAACATTATAAAGATCACTGAAAGATTTCGAAGCATCCAATTGAGATTGAGTAGTAGCATTGTCATCGTAAGTGACAATTCCAACACAAGTACTACGGGGATCTGCTGGATATTTGACTGGTCCGATTTTAGAAATTGATCCCAGTACTTGAGTTAGTGTGTTTCTCACCTAGAGTTCAGAAAAAAAAGGTCAGGAGTAATTCAATAAATTAAATACCTGCCAAAGTTGTGCGTTAGTCATCAACTGAGATTTATCTACAACTACAACAACATCTAACCACAAGTTTTTGATATTTCCTGGGCATATTGGATCCGAGTAAACATCATCAGAAATTGATGGGATTGGGGAGCAGAATGCACCTAAAATAATACATTGAAAAATTGAAGCTGAAGGAGAAGTGGCCCACCAAAAATAGAAACAGCTAATAGAAGAAAAATTGCACGCATTACAAGAAGAGGGTCAATATAACAATTTTCTGTACACTTTTATACCAAACTTAAAGGTCTGTAGATTGCTATTCAAAATCATCACTAGGTGATGATTTTTGAGTTTATAATCACCAAACGGAAAACTGATAAAAATTCCAAAAAACCAATAAAACACAAACTCACATTTTTGTCAGAACCAAACAATAGTGCTGTTCAGAAAACTTTAAATTGTGTTTTGCGGATTGGATATTCTGGATAAAAGAACCAATACATTTTTTTGATTTATTAAACTATCAACTACCAGCCATCTGTATGCCACGCCTCCGGCGCTTCAATAGCGTGTGGTCGGCTTTCCTAGTACTTTCCTACTGTATATCTTTCAAATCAAAACCAAATTTATTAACCAATTCATTGTAGTCTCATCATATCAAATTGCTGTGAGATACTCCGTGGGAAAAATTGAGTGCTGTTTGTCATACTGCTCACTTGTGGCTCCTGATTATCACCTGTACAACTTTGCTCATCGCCGTTCTCTGATTCTTCTTCGATTCTTAATTTTACATTTATATTTTTTTTTCAATAAATTTTGTAATATTCCCCCGTACCTATGAAGCTGAAACTTGGATGCAATATCAGATTCTCCACAAAGACTTGCTTCGAAGATTTGTGAATCTGAAAATATATTTTTTTTTGTTTAGCAGCGATCAAAAACTTACTAGCTGCTGAAGAAATCACATCAAAGTTGTTCAAGTAAAAACTATCACTGAACGAATTAGATGATGAGTGCGGAGAGTTTGGATCGGATACTCGTGAAAACCTGAATCAGAAAATGTGTTGTATAGATTATCGGAAAAATATGCTGACTCATAAACAGATACAGGATCCTGATCCAGATCCTCGTCTTCTACATCCAAAATTTCCGGAATATCAATATGATTAGGCTTGGTTGCTGGAGATTCTGATGGTAGTTCCGGTGGAGAATACGTTGGAGCGGGTAACTGAAAATCCAGGTTACCTATTTTTGAATCAGTGGAGCAGTTGTAATCAGCAAAAGTAATAGAATCGCCACGTGAGGACAAAATCAGGAGTACACAAGAACAGAAAAAAGTTATTGGAAGCTATAACTTCAAGCTTTACTGAAGTTTAGAGGCAAAGCTGTTTTTTAATGATTTCTTACCATCGGCGAGAAGCCTGAAGATGAAGACTGAAATGGGATTATGTGAATTTCGATTTTTTAAATCTTCTTTTGAATATATCTTTTAAAAAACGAACTACAAACCTGAAATTCTGGAGTCGGTTGTGGTAGAGTAAGATTGTAAGCAGAGTATCCGAACTTTCCAGAAGGTTGCTCATAAACTGATAATGACGTCCTATCGATTGACAACAGTTCGTTCATCTCATCTTCATCGTCTTCTGGTATCGTTGCACAGCTTTTGGTAGTACCACACTCGAATGATGTGAGACGACTGTCTGGAGTACCAGCTATGTTCATTGTCATCGGTGAGCGATCTGAAATGTTTTCTTATTAAAAAGATACCTTGTTTTATATATTTTTCAAGATTCAAAAAGTTTCTTTCCAAAATGAAGTTTATAAGTTTTCAAGCGACTCTGGCTATGCCTCGTTTTGATTTAGCATGTCAAGCTCGATTATATTACTGTAAACACTCTAATAGAACGCCCACAAACCTTCAACTTTGAACTCATTTATCTCATTTTCTGAAATAGATATCAAGAAGTGGTTTATTGACAAAATGTTAATTATAATATCGAAAACATTTTGTTAGCTAATTACGTCTTGATATATTTCACAGAAACCGAGTTAAATTAGCTCAAAGGTAAAAGTTGGGGTTAAAAATGTTGAGTGTTTACGGTAACATTTTTACTGAAAGAAATACAGTAATCGGTAATTTTTTTTTTCGTTTTTTTTTGAAGGAATATTTTTCATTTGTACCGTTAATAAAATATGATCCGCCGCGATTGAAATTTTCGCTACTCACATCTAGATGCGTTCAGCGGGACTATCAACGTTTTCCCATGATTTGGTCTTCTAGGAGGTGGCGGTGAATCTGATGACGACGACGAAAGAATCGGTGGTATCAATTGGATCCTAGAATCGGAACCTGATGACGTGGATGGAGTGGAACTTCCGTAGTTCTGGAAATTTCATCTTGATTAGCCGGAAATAAGAAAATAACTAAAACCTTATAAGAAGTTCCGGATGCAATACTAACAGCTGGTGTTGCTTGAAGTGGAGTCAGTACATCGAATTCTTCTAATCTGGCAAACATCGGTCCCGAATCGTGTTTCCGCAATGACCCGGATATTTTCTCGGCTGCTTTTTTCCTCTGTGCTCGCGTGCAACAGAACATGACGATGACCCGAATGCACTGAAAAATGATGAGTGTTTCTTCTTAAAGAAAAAAATAAAGAAATGAAAAGAAATGAAAGAAAGAGAAGAGAATAGAGGGATAATGAGTGAGGTGCCACACCACCCACTATGATGTCGTTGTCTATTGGAAGAGCACATAATTGGAAAACGTTGCTTAAGACATACGAAAGAAATGGAAGAAGAAAGAAGAAAGAAAATAGATGAAGACATTTGAAAAATGCACTTTGAAACTGAACCAAAAGTGTGAGAAACTACTAGAATTAGTTTTTTTTTGTTGGTGTCTCGTAGTAAAAACTAAAGGACAACTTTCATCTTCTTCTTCTTTTTTCCTAACTCGAAAATTACATATTCTTCTTTTGTTGCAAAGTTTTTGAAACAAAATTTTTTGTGAATGACGAAAAGAATAGCTTGTCAAATTTGTCGTTTCTAAAGTTTCTAAAAGAATGATTGATGTTCAAAAAGCGGAGGTTCTTTGAATGTACCAATAGATCAAAAAAATTATTTGAGTTTTGAGTATTGAACTACCGTAAAACCTGTAATAGAAGGTCCCCGAACTTTTAAATTGGAGCCAATTTTTCTAGGTCTCTGTCAAAAAGTTGTCAACTGACAAAATGCTGTTGATACTAGAATAAACATTTTATCAGTTGACTTCGTTATGGTATATTTCACAGAAAATGAGATATATAGGCTCAAAGTCCGGGTGGCGTTCTATTTGAGTGTTTACGGTATATGGGCTCAAAGTGTAAGTATACTCTTCTATTAGAGTGATTACGGTAACTTCATTGAAATCGAAAATCTTCGAATGTTAAAACCAGAGATGTCCGGAATCCGGACTACGGAATCCGGAATGAAATAATTTTCTAGGAATCCGGAATTCGGAATTCAGAGTAAATATATTTTCTGGGAATTCGAAATGGAAAAATACACGAAATCATCCGGACATCTCTGGTTAAAATGTTACTTTTTTATTTCCGAGGGGAAATATATTACGGTGGTGGATTCCGGAAATTCTATACATTTACATGAATCGTCTTCAAAAATACAAAATGTATAGTCGGTTTTCTAAAACCTACATATTTAAGTAGCTTGGAATAAGCAGTATCTACAACAAGTGAGCAATATTAAAACACTTGAATTTTGCGAAACTCTGAATTCAAAAACTTAGACCATATTCTAGAGACATTGATACTTCAGAGTCTAACCATTACTAGGCTAACAAAAAAGTAATAGCCAAGCTGGCAAAGTGATAACTCTGTGATTGTTTTGTTTCCAAAAACATCTCGTCTCCGACACCAAAACCAAAAATGCGGAGAGCACCGAAAACAGACGGAGCAACAGCAGGAATGCATGCTCTTCTCTTTTTCTCTTTTTTGCCGGCTCCTTACAATAAGTCCCTCGAGAACGGCGGGCGCAAAAAATGGGGCAAAAGAAGGGGTGCTTGTGTCTTTTTTCTATCCTTTTGCTGTCCCATCAATTGATGGAAATGGACACGAAAAATTGAAAAAAGAGGGAGAGATGGGTCGTTTATTCGATTTAATGATGTACTTTGTTAAAGGATGAAACATGGTTTTGAATTCACAAGATGACTTTGGAAGATGCCGACGAAGATCTTTTTTGTTTTATTGAACTTCGTTATCATTGAAAATCGAGCGTTCGAGAAAGAACTTTGGGAAATTTTCATAGTCTAATAATTGTTTTTTCAAAGATTTGAATATAATTTTAGGAAAAAATGTGAAAGATAGGTAGACAGAAATTATTCCATCTAGCTAGTTATTTCTTCTTGAAATCGCTGTTTTTCTTTAAAAATCTTACCAGAAAGATCAACAAGAAAGTTGTTATCATTGCAAGAGGAATGATAATGCATAGTTCGAACCCGTCTATGAATTTTTGCATTCGATCCAGTGATTCCTCGATATGATGCCTGGAAAAAGTCAGTTTTTAACTACTATGTATTCAAGATGAAGTATTTTTTGTGGCTCAAAGAGGTGGTCTAGAAGTTTCAGCAGCGGGAATTCAAAAAAAATCAGAATCTTCTGAAAGTTTACAGAAAATGGACTCGGGCTGAGATTCTCTCTCCCTTTGAAACGATTTTTGGAGGTTTTTCAAAAATTTTCAGAATCTTCTTAATTTTCTACACCGTCTGATGGATACATATAATAAAAGTTTTGGTCAGAATGGTAAAAAATGATTCAAATAATCTCCGCTCGAAAGACTTACATTTTTCTGATCGATAATCATCAGAATAGCTATCTCTCTGTCTTCTAAAGTCTGAAACTACGAAAGCAAAGAAGCAGCGGTTGAGAATGTAGTTATAGAGACGGAAAGTCAGAAGTCATCATCTAGAAAATAGTGGAAATTCGATGCATTTCTTATTCCTCTTCTTCTTGTTTTTTTCCTCTTTTTTGTTTCTTCCCTATCTGCAAAAACGCGAAAAAATTAGTCGGAATTAATTTTCGAATTGAAAAGAACAATAGTAACACGAAAGAAAAGAGCAGGGTGTATTCAAAGGGGGGGCGCCAAATGAGGGTGATGATGAATGCAAAAGAGAACGGAGGAGACAATCAAATCGTTGGAAATTCCATCCCATTCTGTTCGCCCGACACAACGTGTTTCCGAACACTTCGAAATGAGCAACAAAATGAGATTTAAATGTAGAGAAAGAAGAAGAAGAATTGTTTAAGGTTTCAAATGTTTCAAATGTTTCAGTAGAGATTCAGATGACAAGGAAAAAGTGAAACAAAAAGATGACGATGAAGAGTCACGAGTTGTCTCTTTATGGGTCCTCTATCTGTTTTTGAGAAAACAAAAACTTTGATGTTGGTCTTGAGTTGGGTGACTTATTGAGGCGGGTTTCAAAATGAATTAACAAGACTTTGTGTGGTCTGGACTTTCCCACGAAACCTAGTGTTTTTCCGGAATTGGTTCTCAGATTATAGACTAGTTGTTGATTTGGAATTGGCTCAAAGTTTAAAGCTAGGCTCCTCTATTACAGATTTTAAGGAATACGAAATCTTTTAGGTTGTGGTGCAAAAAGGACTTGCTGCTGATGTTTCTACATAGCTATCTTCGTTATATATAAAACGCTAGAGACGTCTGTCTGTCCTCTTGAGGATCTGTGGACTTTTGAAAAGCTTCAAAAATAAATATAGATTTAAGTGACCCTTTAAGAAACCATGAGGAGTGAAGTGATGAACCAGTAAAGAAAAAGATTAAATCGCGCCGAAGGCGCACCAGTTTGCTGGTAATAAACAAAAAATCATGATCCTTCTTTTCTCATTTTCTAGATTAAAAAAACGAGAATACGAAAGAAAGGCTCAATAAACTCCTCAAATTTGGATTTAATTACCCCGTATAATAACTCCGATTGTCTCAAAATAAAGAAGCATAAAAATTCAGAAAAATTTGATTCAGTTCCTCAAACTCATAGCAAAAAATAGGTTTTTTAAGCTAATAGTAGCTCACAATTACCGTAATACTCTAAACGGTCGATTTTAAGCCCATATCTCGGTTCCTGTCAAGATTATCGAAAAGTTGTAAACTGACAATATATTTTTGATTTCATGACAGTTCCTCTATCAGTTGACGACTCTTTCATAACTTTTACAGGAAACGAGATATATAGGCTTAAAGAAGTTAACGGTTTGGGAGTTCTTCTATTACAGCGTATACGGTAACGAAAATCTGCTACGAACCGAGACCATGGGCTCCATTTTTGCTATTTTCCTATTCTGAATCACACATAGATACAATCATACGAAAAAGCCAAAATAGTGTTCAAAAAGAAAAAGCAACTTTGTGAAGAATGAGGAGGCATTCTTCACTCACTCAAAAATCCCGTTTCCTACACATGCAAGTTTGATATAAATCCACGATAAAATGAACGAAACCTCTTGTTGTCTTCTCTTTCTCCTTTTTCCCGTCTTTGTCTTCTTCTTCTTCTTCATGTTAGAAGGTTCTTCTTCGTAGTAAGTCCGTCAACTTTTGGGACTCCCTGGAGGAAACAACACAAATCGTGTGCAAGACAATTTTTCTGACTTCGAGATAAATCGAAAATTGTGAAACATATTCAACAGGTTATTATTCTGATTCAAAAAATCGGAGCTGTGGAAGAGAAAGGCCGATGGCAGTGGCCGAAAATCCCACCACGACAACTACAGTAACCTAAACATATTGTAATTTTCCAGAGATTTATTTTCTCGATTTTCTTCCGTTTTCAGTATATTTTTTCACAATCAAAAATTTTTAGTTTCCGTCTTGTTTGAGGTAAACAACAGAAAACTTAGTTGAAAAGCAGTGAAAAAAACGAGAAAATAATTATCTAAAAATTTTTGTTTTAGGTTACGGTATTTGTCGCTGTGGGACCTTCTTTCTTTGGTCGGATACTGTATGATACAGTCTGTATTGCTTACTGTACTTGAATAGTTGTAAGCTAACAGCGGCTAATAGAATTCCTATAAACAAGAAAACAAAATAGAACAAAATGTATAATGTGTATCCGTCGCTGTCCTAATTATGTGAGTGAATCGAAATGACTGCTAACCGAGAAAAAACTCGAATTGAAAAACAACAACAAAAATTTGCAAGCATCCGATGGGGTGTAAAATTGACCACTATCCTAGGATGGATTGGGAAGTGGCAGAATTATAAAGCCACCTTTTCTTGCCCCAAAAAGTGGGATCCGAAATTTGATACGAAAATGGCAGAAATCTCTTTGTTTTCACATGCTCTTGTCGGCAACACTGCTATTTGTTTTTGGGTTTACTGGATTTGGGAGAACAAAGTTTTTAAAGATGCATTTTATACGGAAAACAACATGATAATAGTGAAACAAGAGATCAAGAGTAATGATGAACGTGCGACGTTTTCTATTGAGCCAGGATCGGAATCTTAGTCAGTTGGAATCGTTCTGGTAGCTTCTGGAAATGTATACGTTTGATTAAATCGATTTTCTGTAGCTCTCACAAAGCAACACTATCAAATTAGATTTTCAGGTTTCTTCTCCACCTCGGATTCAGTTTTCTTTGCTGCTGACCGAATCACTCTTCTCCGAGCCACACGAACTGTAACCAACTTCCCGGAAGTTTTGGCTAGTGCCGCCTGGGCTGATTTTAATATCACTGGCGCTTTCACTACTTTCTTCCCGTTTTTCAATGTGTAAATTCTCATATTCGATGGGAGCAATGTGGGCGGCGGTTTTTGTATTGGTTGTTGAAAAGTTGGTGCTAATGACGAAGAAGTGGATGGATTGGTAGCTTCCATTTCATTGTATTCTTCCTCTTCCAACTTGACTTTCTTCAAATCAGGAATATCACCATCTTCAACTGTTTGAGTGATACCTCCTAGCAGTTCGCTGACAATGGCAGTTGCAGTGGCAGTTGGGGCTGCTTGCGAGACGGTTACAGTGTTATCCTTTCTCTTGACCGAACGTTGATGATTGCGAGGCTCTTTTGCAGGAACTCTTGGTATATCCTTGGTCAACAAGTTTGCCACCAACTTACGGTATTCTCCTTCGGCCATTTCTGTGAATTCTTCTTCAACATAGACTTTTCGAATTTTCTGAAACGAAAATGTTCTGTTTGATGTTAAAATTATAAAATTAGATGCAAAATGTATATTCTATCGTAAAAAAGTACCATCAACTTGTTGAAAAAAACCAGCCCGACAAGAAAAGAATAAGCTGGGACTCGACGCTCTCTGTTAGATTCTCCACCTAGTACATCAATCATTGCTTCGCGCTGAAACGTACTTATTCGTTTTTCCATATCCAATGTATTTAGACACTTACCATGGGGATAATATGACTTTCGCACAGATACAACTTATCATTCAAAATCGATTTCTTTGCTTGTTTCAACGTCTTCTGATTGTCGATAACAGCCGCCGTCAAAATAATCGCTGCATTTTTTTCCGAAAGTAAAAATGATAGTGGCTTGGATACTTCCAATCCGCACCAAATGCAAGTCGATGATAAATCATCGTCCTCTGGTTCGTACCCTGCTGCGAAGTTGGCACTTTCCTGAAAACAATTAACTTCTTATAATGATTAACAACGTCTTTCAAACGGACAATCATATCAGTAGTAGGCATTTCCATTAATACATTCAAATGTTTACAGAGCGTTTTTAAGGTCTCACTCTCGACCACGGAAGGTTTCAGTTTGTTTTGATGCAGAAACCTCGCAATTAGCTGAGCAGTCTTCCAGTGAAAGATAGAATGTGTCGCCGAATGCTCCGCCGACATTTTAAAACGACCTGCAAATTTTAGATAGTTTTCACAGTCTGAGAATAGATATCAGGAGAGATTGGAGTATTGAGATTGGAGTATGGTCGCTTGACAGAAATAATCAAACTATCATGGGAAATGGATGCATGCTTTCTCGATTTTTCTGGGTCCAATTCCCATTTTTCTTGAATTTCGCACAATAGAGCACACATTCATTTCTCGTTGGAGCGCAAATGAAACAACCAGGGAAGAAGGTGAGACCCCGCAAATTCCGCCCACTTTCCCCGGGTTTTTTCCCCGATTTTTTTCCCCGGAATTTGCGGGTTCTCAGGAAGGTCGGAGACCCTGCAAATTCCGGGGAAAAAATCGAGGAAAAAGTGGGCGGAGTCGGGGGCGGAGCCTAAAATGCAACCCTGGCACGGTTTTGCCGCACGGTTTTTCTGCACATTTGGACACGGTCATGAGGGGGCGGAGCCTAAATTGCAACCCTGGCACGGTTTTGCCGCACGGTTTTTCTCGACCCCGCCCACTTTCCCCGATTTTTTTTCCCCGGAATATGCGGGTTCTCAAGAAGGTCGGAGACCCTGCAAATTCCGGGGAAAAAAATCGGGGAAAAGTGGGCGGAGTCGGGGGCGGAGCCTAAAATACAACCCTGGCACGGTTTTTCTGCACATTTGGACACGGTCATGATGGGGCGGAGCATAAATTGCAGCCCTGGCACGGTTTTGCCGCACGGTATTTTTCTCGACTCCGCCCACTTTCCCCGGTTTTTTTCCCCGGAATTTGCGGGGTCTCAGAAGGTCGAGGCCTCTCAAACTATGAGGGAAAATTTTTTTGGAAAAAATTTGCAAGTTGCGTACGGGTTTGTCGCACTGTTTTACTCATAACCGTTGCTAATTTTTTCAAAAAACTGTGTGACCCCGAAATTCAGGGTTCCCCCACTTTTTCTCGGAAATTTTTGACTTAGATTTCGACAATATTACTCTTGTCCGAAATCAATGCACGTTGCGGCCGAGAAAACAACGGTGGGCGGGACTTAGCTCCCACAGAGAGAACACTACGGTATTTTTCAAACTAATGCATGCGCCTTTAAACAGTGCCTCAACATTCGAGAGCACACCAACTGGGAGGAAAACAAAAAGTGGNAGGAACCATCTGGTAGGAAAATGGGCGGAATCGGGGGCGGAGCCTAACTTACAGCCGTGGCACGGTTTTTTCATGACCAGGTACCAAATGGTGAAAATAAACCATGCGGCGAAACCTTGCCAGGGTTGCAAATCAAGCTCCTCCCCCGACTCCGCCTATTTTTAATACCAGATGGTTCCTACCACTTTTTTTTCCTCCCAGTTGGTGTGCTCTCCAACATTTGTATAATTTTTGACTTTTTCTCTTATTTTTTTCGCTTGTTTCTGTGAAATTTTGTCAAATTCTTATAAATCTTCAATTTTTTCCCTTATAATGCCGCGTTCAAAGTAGACTCCAGGAACTGGAAATTGCGTCCAAATCTGCCAATTTTTCCAGGTTTTCCAGGAGCACGAAACTTCGATTTTCCGCGTTGTAGCTGTGTTAATTTTTCGAGGTCCGCTGTAAATTAACAAGAAACTTTCTTTTTTTGGCCCTCGAATTGAGGTCGAAGAAAAAAACACAGCTACAACGAGGGAAATCGAAGTTTTGAGTCCATGGAAAACCTGGAAAAATTGACAGCTTTGGACGTAATTTCCAGTTCCTGAAGGCTACTTTGAACGCGGCATAAAATAGAAAAACAGCCAAAAATGGGCCAAAAATGGAAAATGCCCGAGGTACGGTATTAAAGGCGCATGCATTAATTTGTTGTTTTCGCTGCTCGACCGGCGATGCGATTTTAAGTAACTTTTCGGCCGCAACGTGCATTGAAAAGAGTCAACAGTAATAATATTGTAGGCAAGTAGGAGCTTTTGAAACAAAATAGTTCCAAGAGCTGATTTTTGCTGATATCTGTTAAATCTTTGCAATTTCAACATTCACTATCATTCAATCCCCAAATATATTTCTCTTTCGAAAAACCAATATAGCTCTATACCAAATATTCAAAAAGGAAAACAATGAAGACATTTCATATACACGCGAAAATACCCATAGTTTGGAGAGAAACAATAAAACCGAAAAGAAAGAGGAAACAAAAAATTATGTGTCGTGGCGAGGAACAGGAAACAAAATCAGGATTTCAAAAATCCACTAGCAGGAAAATAATGAATTCGGTAGAAAATACACTAAACCGAGAAATAAAGCGTTCAGAAAGAAAAATAAACTGTCTTGATTTTATGAGCGAATGGGGGTGGCGAAGAAAAATGATTAAGGGAAGTGGGAGAATGGGAGAAAAATGAGAGACAAACCCGTATGGGATTTAGGGGGTCAGGGTCAGTTAGAATTTGTGTGAGAGATGAGCAGGAGTACGAATTATTTTTGAAGATGTCTGAATTTAAGCGTAGGCGGTTCTTGGAGTCGTTGTGACTAGATCACGACGCATCACATCGGCGACTGATTCAAATACAGCTTTTGATGATTCTCCAGACATTGTGATGCATTTGTTTTGCTTCCTGAAAGATAATTCAAATAATTGAATTGAATTATTGACTTTCAAAACTCACTTATAGTAATCAAGAACTTTGTTCTCCGTCTTATCGTACACTTCTAGTCTTCTTCTCGCTACTTCTAATTGATCCATACTACGCTTGAACAATGGCTCTCCTGTTATATCGTCTTTTCCCTGAAAACAACAGTTTGTTTCTAACTATTTGACGGAAATGACTGACCTCCTCCTTTGGAGGATTCACTTCCAGATTATAAGCTCTTCCGGATGCTGGATGCACCAATTGTTTGGAAAGACGATCGATGAGCACTTTGCGAGGAACCTGGAACTTTTAATTCAGAATTTTAAGATTCTAGAAACGCTTACCTTCAATTCAACTACTAGATTCAGTGGAGCTTGGTCTTCTACCATTTTGAGTTGATTCATGTTCCGCGGATAACCATCCAGGATCACTCTTGGTCCTGCTTTCAGCATCTCGGCCAATATAGCTCCATTGAGAATACTGTCTGGAACGTGCTCGCCCTTGTTCAAAAACGATTGTGCACGAACTCCGAATTCTGAAACATTCGATTCGGTAATTTATACGGAAATTGAGTATATTACCTGTTCCTCTAGCAATGTGATCACGAATGAAGTCTCCAGCGGCAAAATAGTTGAATCCCAGAGGTTCAAACTCTCGGACCAACATTCGGGCGATTGTCCCTTTTCCGCTGCCAGCTGCACCACTCAAAAGTACTCGATACATCTGTATTTTGGGCTGAAATCAGAATTAATATAGAGCATGTTCAGTAGTTTTCTGAAGAAACGAGTATATATGTGAGAAGGGTTTTGGCCGGAAACATCTGTGTTTTAATCTGTTTTAAACTTCAAACACGCCAGTATCCAATTGCAAGAAGAAAACGTGCAAATCTAAACGACAGGCTTGTCAATAACTTCTAGGGAACTCTCAACTCTGGACGAACGAAGTAAAAAAGAAAAAAGAGAGATGGATTTAAAGATATCCAGCAGTGGTCTTTCGGTGTCATGAGAAGAAAAGACGAGTGACGAATCGAAACGAAATGGGGAAACAGGCATAGAGAACGAGCAGACGTATGACTGTTCACGGAACATCACTATAGGCGAGACACATTGGGAAAAATATCAAAACAACAAGACATGAGTGTCAGTCTTACATTCTTTGGACGTTTTTAGGAGCTTTATTTGAAAAAGCGTTCTAAACTTCCTGTGAAAATATTTGGCCCTTTTTTCGGCTTGGACGTATGCCAGAATTTGATTCTAAAGTTTGAAAAAAACGTCAGTATGTTTGCAATAAAAGAAACGATAAGAACTGAGTGCACACCACATGATTAGGCTTCATAGCCGCTTCGTGTTACACTGATAAAATGAACATACCGAGGAAAAAAACGAGAAGAGGAAGCTGATAGATGGGATCAAATCACGCTGGGGGCAGATGACGATACCACGCCAAGACATGGAAAACAGGTTTTCATGAGAGTGCAAAGAACCTATGTAGATCATTGGATGCAATAACACTAAATATGTGAAAGAAAAACTCTATGGAATTCTTTTGGTGACTAGTATTAAAATGTCTCTCGAAACTATTTAATATAGGTCAGAACTGTAAAAGTATAGAAAACTCTTCACATCGATGAAACAGCAATGACAAGATCAAGAGCTCCGTCAGATCTGGGAAGTGCTCCCTTTAAACATTTTTTGGTGTTGGGCATCATCAAAACTTTTCTGAGTTTGTCTCATGAAACGATGTGATCAGTTGGTCTGAACACCAACTGCCACATTTCACAGCCAGCGAAACTTCAGGGAGTAAACGGATATCCAAACTTCTGGCGCCAAACCATATGATAAGATGACAAACAACGGAGGCGACCTATTGGCACCCGAACATTGTGCTCTTGTCTCTTTGCATAAAAATGAAATTGAAGCAAATATTTGCGATACGAAACTCTAATTTTAAATACCTCCTCCTTCTAGCTCCTGCCTCCGTTTCCGCGTGATTTTTTCATGGTTTTCTAGTAGGTTGTTCGATAAAATGTTTCAGGGACAGTAATAAAAACTACTAATGCGGACATCATATTCATGACATCATGTTTTGATGTAAATACTCGTCTACACAGAACCAGAATGACGACACCAAACAAACAATCGAAACGAGTGGAGGTCAGATGAGCGAAACTCAAAGTTTAAAATCGCAATTTCTTTATCTCTCTCCGATCAGTGCGTCTCATTGAAAGCTCAACATGATCATGGGGTTTTTTCGACGATCACGATGGCAGAAGTGAATAAATGATCACAAGGAACGATCACCCGCACAAATAAAGATAAGAGAACAATTCAAGGATGTTTGTATTGTAACCTATAACACCTACTGTACAATTCAAATCATTCGAAAATAAATAGATCTCTGTTTAAAACTTATTGATTGAATTTGGCGAAACATTATGATTTTTATATATAGAAAGAATCGCGTAGGTGTCTGTCAAAATATGAGTCATTTGAAGACAATTTTGGTATTCTACTATTTTTAGGAGAACAGAATGCAAGGAAAAAAATCAACAATGATATCACGCAACAGAAAACTGAAAATGCGCCTCTGATTACTTTGAGCTCATATGAGATTCAATCGAATTAATAAATTAGCTGTCACCATCAAACTGTTGAACGGGTTAGAAAAATGATTGTACAGAATATCTTGAAAACGCAGAACCGCTAATTTTAGGCCAAAGAGTATTAGAAAAAAAACCTTCGCGGAATTTCGTAACTGTCGTGCAGCCGCAGCAGCAACGAACACACTCGCACGTACTAGCTTTGCAGAAAGAAGACGGGCGGTATGGGGTAGAGGAAGAGACGCAGACGGTACTAGTCGAGTATTTTGGGGAAACACCCGTATTTTTTCCACAATCATGATGCAAAATTGTGTAGGAAGAAAATGAGAAGACTCGCGGATAATTGAAAATTCAATTTGTAGATAAGTAAAAGGCGGAAAATTGATGCCCACCAGAGAAAATGATAAAAATTGTAAGAAGTTGAAGGGATAAGAACGTGTTAAACGCAGGACAACTCAGACATGTACTGTAAACCTTAATATTCCTAACACTATTGCAATATTAAATTAAATAGAACAAAGGAATATCAAATGAAATCTCTCTTCCAGAAAAACTGCTTTAGAAAACTGAAACTTGCAACTTAAACTTCTTGAGATAGTTGAATTTATGCGAAAAATACCTAAAAAGTATGAAGGAAATTAAATATTTTTTGAAAAATGCAAAAACATTTTTTGCTGAAAACAACTTTTGGTGCAACTTGTCGAGTTAGTGTTTGCGCCTATTGCGCCCAACCCTACGCCAAATCTCCTCATTGAAGTTCAGCTCACAAAATGAGGAACCCAGAAAAACTTAACAAATATTTGGCTCCCCGAGCAGATGGCTCGGCGATCAGTGCCACCTGTTTTTCTCCCTCGAAACCTCTCATCACGTGTATGAAACCCAAAAAAAAATCACAGAGAAAGAGAAAAATATCGGAACTTTTCAATTTATTGAGCAAGAAATAAGAAGAAACCGAGATGAAAAACGAAAGAGATGAGTAACCAGAGAACCAAAATATTTACAGATTTTGATGGGAAAACACTTCTAGGTCTGTGTGGAATAGTTCCGGGTCTATCAACATGTCGTCGAACAGAGATTACACGTCTTCGCACAGTATTGCTTCTTTTGGGCGCAGTTGTAGAATGTCGAGCTACAGAACCCATTTTTGTCCCAGTTGGCACAACTGTAATAGTTAATAGTTAGAAACCAGAGCAACTACTATTTTTCTGGTAATCGGTTTCTAACCAGATTCGAGAAATTTTCCAACCAGATTCGGGAAAATTCCGGAGCAGAAATGGCTAGATCTGGTTGTAAAATTAGCCGAATCAGGTTGGACTTTCACCAGATCTGGTCGGAAAAAATGAGCGCAGTTTCGTAGTGCACGTTGTTTCATATATGATACGAAAGGCTTACTTTGTGGAGCTGTCCACACACGAGACTGGAGCAGAAGTGGATCCACCTCCGCAGAATCCACAGGTCTTGGGGCAGAACCTAGAATTTCGAAAATTAGTTTTCCAAGAATTCTTTTAGGGAGTACTTACTGCTGCAAAAGTGGAGTATACTTGGGATTGGAGCAGAGAGAGGTATATTGGGAACAATCGGTGTTCGGATCATCTGCACAAGTTGATGCTGAAAGTTGGGGGAAAGTTTCAGAAGTGCAATAAATAAATCATAGAAGAAGACAAAGAGCACGTTTCCTAAGTTGTTATCAGTGGCATATGATTATGGCTCTCTCAGCAATCATTCAATTTTATGGTGATTGCGTTTTTTGTCCCTCTCGTTTTGGCGGAAAATCAACGATCAACATGTTTTTTAATTAATGTTGAACTGTGGTTCGAAATAGTTCTTGGACTGGAATTGATTACGGTAAAGCCTGTACTAGAAGGGCCCAACTTTTAGAAGGGCCGCCTGTAATAGAAGGGCACCCTTCAAAACGTGTAGTTCAAACTCATAAATTTCCGTACGTTTACAGTGAAAAATACTCTGGAGAAATTCCATAATTTCAACAAAAACTCGTTGAAAACCCCATTTTTTCTAAAACACTTGCTTAATTTCGATGAAATTGATAGATTTTTATGGATTTGGAACGAGAATTCACAGAATTTTTGCATAAAAAATTTCGGACAAAATGGCTGAAAAAATAGAACCCCTCTAATTGAAGGTTCCCTGTAATGGAAGGGCACTCCGGAGGTACCTTGAAACAATGAAAGGACCGTCCCTTCTAATACAGGTTTTACGGTACTTTTTCATAACAGCCCATAAAAGTCAATGAATTAAACACAATTCTGAGAATTCTATGATTTTCCAAAAAGAAAAGTATGATTACCTGTTGTTGCCCCACTAGCAGCCGTTGTGCCACCAGATACTGTTGTTCCACCAGATACTGTAGTTCCTCCAGAAGCTGATGTCGTAGGTGCTGCTGTCGATGTAGAATCGTCCGCAGCAATGGATGAAGCTACACAGCAAGCAAGGAACAGTGTGAGTTTGAAATTCCACATGGTTTTAGAATTGAATGAAATGGAAACAGTTAATTTCAGCCAGTTCGGCTAGTTCCGCTTATCTTTTATAGTCTCATGACACGATTATCGATTATTCAAACGACTAATCGGGTTTTGTAATCATTAACGAAAAGTTTGTGTACTAGATCGAAGAGCCGGAAACTGAAAGCTTTAATTGCAACGCAATCAGCACATTTTTCTAATACTTTAGGCCGATTGGCACTGAAAATTTCGTTTCTTATTTGATTCGAATTTATTCAATAATTTGAAAAGAAATTTTGTTTCAAATGAAAGCGACGAAAGTGTACATGAAAGAAGTGGCAAAGGCACAGGTGACACAGAAAGAAAAAAACATAAATATACTGAATGGGAGGAATAATTGGAAAGAACTATAATCTAGACTCGGCGGAGGTTGATAGTGGGAATGATATGAATTGGCAATAAGGAGGAATAATGAAGAAAACATGGGAAAAATGGACAATGGCAAGAATGAATCATTATGGCTTGAAGAATGCAGTTTGTGCCAGAATTTGTCTTTGTTTTTGAACAATCACAATGAAAACGACCACAGTTGCAGCAAAAAGAAGGCAAAAGAGGAAAAGAGTGAAGTACATCCGAGCTGAAAATGTTACTATTTTCTTACATAGTATTTTTTGAACTCACAAGTGGCAAAACATGTCTTCTCGTGACTATTTCTAGCCTCTCTTAATGCTTTTGTTGCTCCATGATCACCTCCATTCGTTGTCTCTCCATCCTCCATCTCCTCTAATCCAAACACCAAAATACCACGTTCTGGGAGGTCAATATCTCCTACAGTAACCGGTCTCTTCTTCCCATTACTGCTTATTTGTTCTGATGACTCCACTGCATTTCTCTTGATAAGCCGACTATAAACCCCATCTTCCGTGTAAGCAGCGGATGTTGTGAATGGTTGTTCGGTGTCGTTGTACCCAACAATGGCATCGTAAGCGTTATCTGGAGTTCCTGAAAACTGAATATCTCTCCTATCAAGTTCTGGAAGAATACCTGAGATATAGATTGGTTGAGGTTCCGGATAAGAGTGGTCAATGTTGGCTCCAGGTGGTGGTGGAGCTGGAGAAGATGGATAACTGGCTGGTGCCTGCGTAGACGGGATTGGGTATCTGCTAGATGCAACTGGATAGTTGGCTGGACGAGTTGGATATCCTGATTCATGGCTATCATAAGGATACGGTTCCGCAGTTTCAGTTGTTTTTTGTGCTGGCTCCACAACGTATTGCGAGGATGGACACTGAGGTTGCTGAAATCGGATGAATATTTTTAATACATTGGAATAAGGTAAACCGTATTGGCACATCCATAATTGACGTCCTTGATTGTCAGTTGAATCTGACAGTTGAAATAGAGTCCTGCTTTGTCAGCGAACTTGAAAACTGGCGCAAGTTTCCCAGCCGTTAGGTCAGAAGTATACTCAAGATTCTGAAGAATAACACCGTCCACAGAGCATCCGTTGGCATCAATGACAGTTACTGGAGGGCCTCCTTGTCCATCATAAACAGTGCATGAATGTACTTTCATACAGTAGACATTCTCAAGTTCAGCTACACAAGTCCATTTGTGGTATACTTGATCTCCGATTCGAGCGTATTTAATTGGTGATCCACCAGCTTCGTTCATGATTTCGTATCTGCAGACTGGAAGTTGTGTTTGGCTCTCCAAGAGTTGGGTTGTTAGAGCACTGATATCAACATGATTGTGCACTTTCTTAGTTCCCTCGACATAGAAACAACTGACACGGTAGGCACGATCGATTTTGGTGATGAAGATCTGAAATTGAAATCTTCAAAAACTGGAATGATTTTGAGACTTACTGAGTGGAAAGAAATGATAACAGTAGCCGAAATGACCACTCCATTGATCTCTCTTTGCCTTCTGACTCCACACGAATCGTGACGAACTGAGAACCGATGGGCAGTTTTACCATCGCCAACAGACATACAGGATGGTTCCGAGACATATCCTTTTACGAAGACTTTTCCATTGAATGAGTTCCGAGTTTTGAAAAGTAGAGAGATAGATGAAGTTTCGCAGACAACTTCGGGTTCACCTAAAAGAAGAAGACTGGGTTAAAATGGTCGGGTTATGATATGACATTCAATAATATAATTCTGATCCCCTTTTTCAGAATACGTTGCTATTTCAATCTCACTTTCTTTCCCCGTTTGTCCTCATTTTGTATGTATTTGCCATTGAGAAGCCGTTTCTCGAAAACTCTAATTATATCGGGTTCGGAAGCAAAAAGTCAAACGAAGGTCACTTTCTATTCTGTCCATTGAAACATGCGCGTAATTTCAATCGTCCGTTACCATTTCTTCGTCCAATATTGTTTTTTTTTCTTTTCGGCAACGGAAAATCGCGAAATAAAATACAAACTTGTTTCAATTTTTCCGTTTGAAAGTAGTAGTAGTAGTAGTACAAAGACTATTTTCCCTATAGGCTTCTACTCCTGTGGCCGATTCATTCCGATTTGTTGTATTTCCTTTCCCTTCCGATCAAAAGTCTATTGGTGCGAAATAATAATGTTGGACGGATCGGACGGATCGGAGGAAGAGGAGAAGAAAAGCTGAAGACGTTGGGTAACCAAAAAGAGAAGTTACGCAAGACCGGGAGAAGCCAAAAAAAGATTGTGAGGGAAATGGAAAGTTTTCGTGTGAAAAGTGAGACAAAATGGTAATTGGAAAGAGGGTGAAGGGATGAAGGAGAATGAAAGAGACAAGGCTGTAAGGAGAAGAAGGTGATCGAATGAAGTGATCCAGAAAAATTGGAAATTTCTATGTCTAGAGGAAAGTCATCAAAGTTCTCGATACGCTCAATAAATCAAGGAACGGCTCAGAATCTATGTGGAAATGGTTCTAAGACTGCGGTATACTTCTAATAGAAGGTCCCTCACAGGTAAGACGGGGTTGCCGAAAAGCGTACAAGCGGCAGCTGAAGATTCGAGAATTGGCTATAACTTGCGTTTTGAAGCAAATTTGGAAAATTTTGCGACAAAAAGTATAAAAGGAAATTATTAGTAGCCGTACCGTAATGAAAAAATTGTGTTTTTCCTTTATAAAAATAAAAGAAAAAAAAATCATTTTTTTGGTTTTATGGATTTTTAATTTTCTTAAAGGGTATTCTACGGAGAAACATAATTTTTTCATTATGGTCCGATTACTAATTATTGTCTTTCATACTTTGTTACAAAGTTTGGGCCATTTGCTTAAATCCGCAAGTTATAGCCAATTCTCAGATCTTCAGCCGCCATTTGTACGCTTTTCGGCAACCTCGCCTTACCCGTGCTTCAATGTCAAGTTTGAGCTGCTTTTTCTTGGCTCCTGTGCGAGATATAAAAAATGTGTCAACTGACAAAACACTCCTGATATTATGATAAACAATTTATCAGTTGACAACTTTTTGACATCTTGCACAGGAATCCAGATAAATTGGCTAAAAGTTAAAAGTTAAGGGGCTCTTCTATTACAGGTTTTACGGTAAATGATCACTTCTACTGCTGAAAATTTATGTCCCTTCTATTCGAAACTGTGTAAAACCACCTTCTTATCAAAAAATTCATCTTTGTCTGATCACAAGGTCATCCCTCTATTGAATATGAAATCAGAATGTCCTTCTTGTTTTTTCTCTCAAAATCCTAATCAAACTATTCCATTCTTTCTTCGTCACATTTCCTTTTTATACATCCTCTACCTCAAGTTTATATGATGCCATACATAGTAGTTCCTTCCCAAAAAAAAATGAGAATGTCCAATTCGGACACATGACGAGTCTTATTGGTTTTCATTGTTTCATCTGTCTAATAAGGATGACTAGATTCTGTCATTCCTAATGGTCCATAAGAAATATGTGGAGGATGTCTAGTTCTTTGACTTACCTATCAAAGAGTTATCAATGCTAACTGTGGAAGATGGACCAGTTGAATAACCACAGAAGCATAGTGATGGTAGAAGGAAGATGGCAACGAGCCCAGTGAAGTGTCGCATTACCTGGAAAATATAAAATTAGGAACTGAAGTATTAAATGGAAGGAAGAGAGAATCTAATCAACTTTTGTAGATCAATTTTCAGAACATGAGAACTATGTTCTTGAAACTTGGAAACCTTCAGAAAGGGCGGAGTCTCAACGGGAGAAGAGAAAAAACGAAAATGCAAATGTGGAAAGTTTTCAAAAAAAAAGAGAGGATGGGCGGTGGTTGGCAAGAAGGAAAAGCTTGTCTGCTACCTTCATTCAGATAGTTTTATATATGTAAATTGAAGTCTGATTATTGGGAATAGGTGCACAGTGGGAAGTCCTATGTGGTCTCCCAGAGAAGAAACGGAAAGGATCGAAATAGGAAAAAATGGGAAAGGAGGAGGTGGAGAGAAGAAATAAATTGAAAATACCTGAGAGAGAAATGGCATGCATATTGAGGAAAAGGCATGAAACATTTTTGGTGGAATCGTTCAAATCACATAACGAACGGATTCAGAAAAAGAAGGGTGGGAAGCGAGAGATATGGGTAAGGATAAGGATAAACATGAGGGGTTCAACTACTTTCGTGAATATTTTCAATGCAAAATACAATAAAACCTGTAATAGAAGGGCTCCTAACTGTCAATTTTGAGCCAATTTTTCTCGGACCCTGTCCAAGATATAAAGACTGATAAATTTTTCATCATAATATCAGAAATTTTTTGTCAGTTGACACATTTTTGATATCTCACACTGGAGCCAAAAAAAATCAGCTCAAACGTGACAGTAAGAGGGTCCTTCTATTTTAGGTTTTACGGTACATAAAATTGCTCATTTATCCATATACTGTCAAAAAAGTCTTTCAAAAAAGTGAGTCAGATGTTTGAAGCATCTCTGACGCTTCAAACAGGCACGTAGATAATGAAAAATTCGAAAGTTTTTTCTGAACCAATCGCTTTTAATGAAAATTTCCTAAAAATCGGGTTTCCAGCTCAAAAATCGACAAGAAAAAAGTTATTTTGACTAGAACTGAAATATTATAGTTTGTAACAAACAAAACTTTAGAATTCATTTGATAAAAATATCAGAAGAAAGATCCGGCCTCTTCTTTTGGGGTACTGTGTTATGGAAAACCATAAGAAAGTGAGTATCCTCTGTTGTTTCTCGTCTACTACTTTCCAAATGGGGGCGGAGTCGTCCCTCCTAGTCGTTCCTTTTTTGCATTGCCATGCCAACACCAATAATTGGCACCGTGTCTCTGTGTCCAACACCATGCGACTTCTTTTTGGTACTAATAGACCGTCACGGACTGGGCAGGACAGTCGTTTTTTAACCAGGAAGAGTGAAAGCAAGTGATGGAAACGAAAAGTAAGAATTCGTTCCGGAAGAAAAAAAAACATTCACTAAGGAAACCGACTATTTGTGGGGGAAAAGTAGAGTGAAAAGTGACAATTTAGGAAAAAGAAAAAAGAGTTTTCGGTTTCAGAGTGAAAAGTGAAAATGTTGCATTAATGGAGTGGACGCTAAATGATAGGTTATGTACTGTAATACGAAATAAGAAAGTGAAGAAAAGTAGGTAAGAAGAGTAGGTGGTTACGTAAGTGAAACTTCCTGGACTTTGAACATCAGCAACATTATTTATTGAGATTTTCAGAAACTTATGATTTCATTGAATATCAGATAATTTTGCAGGTTCATATGCAGTACCGGTCAATAAGACATAGAATAACCTATTTTCAGTAGATTTTCCGCCATTTTGACCGTTTTCAGATGTCTGTAACTTGGCTTTTAAGTTTCCGCTTACTTTCAAGATTTTGAAGGATGTAAAACAGACCTATATTGAAAACTTTGCAATTGATTTTTTTTTTGAATTTTCCTAGTTTTTCAGTTATGGCCCGATTTCTGAAGGATACCTGCTTTTTCTGAAGGATACCTGAATAGCTGAAAAACTAGGAATTTTCAGAAAATTTTGTGAATGCAAAGTTTTTAATCTAGGTTTGTTTTACAGCCTCCAAAGTTCCCAAATTGATCGGACATTTGACAGTTGAGAATCAGACTTCTGAAAATGATAAATTTTTAAATTTTTAAATGGCTCCGCCTACTTTCCTAACCTAAATGCACATGTCAAATACTCCTCCTCCCCTCGTCGCCCTATGAACTTAATTATTGTTCAGCCCTACTCCTCTGACTATTTTTCTTCAATTGTTCCCCTGTGGAACGCCATCACTTCCCAAGTTACCCGATTTCTCCTACCTTCCGAGTTTGAATCCTTAATTTCTTCCAGTATTACCCGTTATTGATATATTTGCTCCCTATTTTTCTTTTTCTACCGGTTACATCTTTCCTGTGTCAAATATCTAAACTATCCCGTTTCCCCTCCCCTACTCAGATCGGCCTCGTGAGGGGCATTTTTTTCTGAGTCTTTCATGTCCTGCCCTCTAATGTTTTATTACACCTGATCAATAAACAAATTAAATTAAAAATGGCCGAAAACCAACTAGAAATACGTTTTTCAATATCTCATTGAACGTTACTGTATATTTTTCAGAATTTCTGAGATTCTATTTAGATGGATTGTTGTTTGAAATTATCAGAAAAATTTTCTGTGAAAAATAATTATATTCGAATTGAAGAATTTACAACTTTTGAGTTTTTGGGAGTAAAATCTTCAGATGTTCAACTTTTTTTGAAATCTTCTCCCAAATTTTGAACTGACGAGAAAATATTATTTTTAGACTTCAAAATCCATCAACACTATCTAGGAACTTTCAAACAGTTTCACTAACTTTCTAATAGGAGAAAATACGGAAAATATAGCTGATCAGAGAAAATATGAAAATAGGAATAGAAAGTCTCAAAAAGGACGGAATATGGGCAATAATCTGCCCCAATAAGCTATACGCATATAAACTGAAAACATCGAACGCACGAGTGTCTAATCCAATAAATCAGTTACGTAAAGGACGGATGCCGCCCCACATGGTGGCAAGAAGAAGACGGTACAGAGAATAGATGCAAAATGGCGATCAAAACTGAAAATCGGCTAAAAAGTGTTGCGTTTTCTGCAAAAGGTGTGAATGGGATGAGGACTGCTTCTGTTCCGTTTTTTGCCCTTCGCCTATTTATATCTGATCCTGCGGCCGTTTGTGTTGTTGTTCTTGGCACTTTCTCTCCTTCTTCGAAATTGACTCAAACAGTTTAGGAAGAAAGCAAAAGTGACAGCTACTCACTGGAAATGTGCACAACAATACTGTACTTGTTTTTTTTGTCTCGGGACCAGTTTTCCAGTCTTCTGCTTTTCCCTTATTTGTCACCAGGAAGTCGAGAAATAATTGAGGTGGTGAGTTACTGGTAACCTTTAGGAACATTCTGGAAAGACTAAACTCTTCTTAGTAGAGTCTACTACATAATGCAATTATTATGTTATGTTATGCTCGTAGAAAGAAAATAATCATGTCGAAAAAAGGAAAGAATGTTTGAAAACAAACTACTCTCTTGACTATAAAAGTTCTATTAAGTTCCTTTTTTGTGTTTTGTCTATGCTTTTTTGAAGCCGTATATTTCAACAACAAAAAATATGGGAGGATTTTTAAAAGCGATGATATCGAACAACAAAAGGGTAGCATATTTTTGGTAAAGATATTTTTATAAGTAGCTGACTTGTGAATTTCGAAAACCTTGATTTTTCAGACTAGTTCAGAAATGTGCACATCGGTCCAGAAGTCCTGGTCAGAAATAGCGCTCCAGCAAACCTTAGATTTGTGCACGATATTCCACCTTTTCCGCCTGTATTTCTGAATACTTTTCTTCTGCTCTGCGTCACTTCGAAACCGCGACCCTTTGAAACCAGTTATTTTGAAACAGGAATTTTTTAAATCGTGGTAATAGGCGCACGGATGATTTCAGAAAATGTTCTATCAGTAAAAGCATATTTGAAAATCCTAAAATTGTTTTTGTAGTATTAAATTCATCCATCTGCTTGTATTACCACGGTTAAAAAGTGTCGCGGTTTCGAAGTGACGCGGGACCTGAAATCATTGAATTTTATCTGGCCTAACAGTTATCTGGGGCGCAATTTCTGAACAATCCTTATGTAACCTCTGTGGCTGTGTATTTCCGGGCTTTATATAATTTCAAATGAATATTATTTTTAAAGGACAATAATTTCTCCTTCCTGAATTGACTTCCTATATTCAAAAGCTAGAAAACTAATTACTACTCGACATGTGACATTTTTTGCAGAATTCTTTAATACCTTCCTAATATGACATTTGCAATTATGCATCAAATTTCTTGCTCGGTTTCTTGTTGCACCACATATTTTATCACCCAATTCTTCTCTCAAATTGCTTCTTTTTATACTCCAGGAAAACGGAAAATTGTCATATTCACCCGGTGTCCCCGACATAAAACCCAATCCTTATTGACTTTTCCTGTGTTTTCCAATCTTCCGATATTCCACCTTTTTTCTATCAGACATGGCTCTCTAAACTTGTCTTTTTGCTTTCACTTCATCTTTTTTTATTCATTTTTTCTGTGTGTGAATTCAATTCGTGTCGCGGATATCTCCGTTTTTTCGATTCTAAAACGTTGAAGAATAACGACGATGAACACCTTTTGGCCACTTGGAGCATAAAGATCTCTTCCCCACGTACTAAAGAAAAAAGATGAGTGGATATGGAAAATTGGAGAAGAAGCAAGCTGTTGAAGAGAATAAGAAGATCTCACTCCTTCGTTTCGTTTCGTCGTTTTGAATCGTTTGGAAAAAAATAACGGAATAGGCAAAAATAGAGAGTCAATTCTGAATCTGGCTGTCCAGTTACCAAAAAATGTAGTTGTTGATTGATTAGTAGACCAGAGTCAGAAGTGAGCAAAACTAGCAAATTCTGGAAATTTCCGTTTCCTTCCAGAAGCCGGGTTTTGCTTACTGCTTGTGACAATTTTACTATTAGTATATTACCGTAACCTGTAAAATCTGTAAAAGAAAAGCCCCACACTGTCAAGTTCGAGCTCAATTATCTCGGCTCTTATAAGATAAATCAAAAATGTGTCAACTGATAGAATGCTTGTGATATCAGGACTAACAATTCATCAGTTGTCAAGTTTTTAACATATTTATGAGGAACCGAGAAAAATTGGCTCAAAGTTAGAAATTATGAAGCCTTTCTGATACAAGTTTTAAGGTAGTTGAAGATTTGAATGTTTTGACAACAATACTGAATTTTGAACATTTTTTAATGAGGTCCTGGAACATTTAAAAAAACTGAAATGAATTGAGCAACTGAATTTTCACTGAAAAGATTTTTGGACATGTTCTTTTATGCGGTCATCCAAAATGAAAAAAAACCGTTTCTGCCCACTTTCTTGCTTATCTGAAGACCTTATTCCTCATTCTATTGTTTCTCTTCGACTCATGACGTTTTCGAAAATTTCGAAAACTTCAAAATCGTTCTGCGAGAGTTCACAAACCAACAAATATTCCATTCGTCATATCCTCCAAATCGACTTGAAACCCTTGTTTCCTTTCTTTTTTCCGTCCAATTGTTATATGACTCGCAGCTCATTTTTGAACTCTTCACGGCGAAAAAATCTCCGAGAGTTTGTAGACTCAATCTATTGTTCAACACTGAAAAGAATCCAGAAAAAAAACGAGAGAAGACCTCTCTTTCTTTTTTGTACATTTTCAACTATTTTACTTCTCCATTTTGGAACGGTTCTCATAATACAGATTTGCCATAAACTAAACAATGCACATTTTTTTCATTCACTCATTCTCGACTAATTTCCCATTTTTGTACCGTATTGTTTGTGTTTTTTTTTCATCCCAACTGATTTGTCTCCGTCTCTTCGCATTGCAATACTTTTTCTCGTTTCACCTACCGTTTGCCAATTTGTTTCCTGGGACACAAATTGGCTGGAATATGTTAATTGGTTAGGTTCGGGGTGGCTGTGTGTATGTGTAACAATGCAATAGTTAGCCAAAAAAAATGAAATGAGAAAAAAAAGCAAAAAGAAAAAGAAGAAGATAGAATGAAAGGAGGAGACAGGGAGAGATGGTGAGAAACAAGATTGAAATGAGGCGGCAAATGAGTTTTTACTGTCGAATGGCAAGGTTGTCCCACCTGGGTCAAGAGTATCAATTTATATGGAAAAGGGACTTCTGTGGGGGGTCAGCATATATGACGAGGTGACAAGCTAAAAGACAAAATAGCATACTTGTAAAATTCCGGGCCGGCCCACCAAAGCCCGGGCCCGGCCCGGAAGGCCCGGTAGCAAAAATGTTGTCATTTTAAACCGAATTTTGAGCTCTCAATACAATTTTCTATATTTTTTGTGCTTTTTGAATTGTTTACCTGTTTGATCAAAAAATATCAAAAAAACTCGAAAAAAATTTTTTTGATCGAAGAAAATCACATAAGGGTCCCCCCTTATGTGTTTTTTGAAATTTTCAAAACTTGTGGAATGACAGGCCCGCCGGGCCGGGCCTCCAAAATTCGGGAAAAAGCCCGGCCCAGGCCCGCTACAATTATACAAAATAGGATTTTCAAAATGAAGAAAAAAAGGGCATTCGAAATGATCGTGTTCTAGAAATTTAATGAACTACCCTAAACATTTTTTTACAGGAAAAATTCGATAAATTTTTTTTAAATTTCTTAAAAATCTATCAATTTCACTGAAATTGAG